TTTTTTTTTTTTTTGAAAAGAAAGTGAATATAACACTACACAATTTTCAGAGCAAATTTAATGTCGACCTTAAGAGGAACTTCTTTGAGCCATGTCGTCAGTGGTTCAAACTGCTTTTCTAATTTCTCCTCTATTTCTTTACTCTTTTCATCGTCATCAATTTTCAGCCCTTCTTTGGCAACATTCTGGAATTTCTTTCCATCAAACTCTGGCATAGCTTGAATAGCATACTCGTCAACTGCCTCCACTAAATACAACACCTCGTATCCCTTCTTGAGTAAACGCTCGACAAAAGGTGAAGATTCCACCTGTAAAAGTGAAATAAAAAGAAAAACTTTCGAAAAAATACTGACATCATGGAAATTGTCGATAAGTTCTTTTGAGATCCTTGACATATAAAAAAGTAACCTCTTCTCGTGAACTTCCAGCAACGTAAAAGATCATTTCTTGTTTATCTTTCATTCGACTTACATAATCGGCAAGTGAAGTCATCTTATTCTGCAATTAAGTTCAATAATTTCTAGAAAACTTTCAATTTGAGAAATATAAAAATAAGACAATACATAGTAACTTACTTTACTATTTGAAGAATGGAAAAGCAGTAATTTTGATAGGCGTGTTCTATTTGATGGGTCTTCCATAATGCCTAACTTGATATTTGTGCTATATTCCTTCCAAAAGTCTTCAAAATCAGAAGGTTTCATTTTCTTAATCATATCCAATACTTTTCTCACGAGTTTTTTCTTGATAACCTGAAACAAAGCTATCATTTTCTGTGAAATGAAGATATGTATGAAAAAGTAGTTTATATCTCTTCATAAAACATGCCTTTAAAAGCTTGTGTTGCTGAAGGGTTTCACGAGAAACGTTTAGAGGCAAATCATCTGAATCTACTATACCACGAACAAATGACAGGTACTTCGGCATCATATCGTGAAAATCATCAGTAATGAATACACGGCGAACATAGAGCTTGATACTATCTGTTCCCTACAACAAGGAAAATCTTTTTAAATGAAAATGATTTAAACAGCACTCAAGACAAAATTCAAAAAACGTTTATCTAAATTTTGTAATGCATGTGTGCAGAAATACTGAATACTACTTAGAATGCACACCTTTCCATAATTTTGAAACATGTCAAACGGACTACGTCTTGGAACGTATAAAATCGATTTGAATCCAACTTCTCCTTCTGCGACGAAGTGCACGTGTGCAAGTGGATTTTCGGTATCCTGAACTTTAATAATCAGTTTTGTCTCATAAGTACATTTCTTGAAATCATTTGCTTATATAAGAATTATAAGAGTTAATCATATTCAATTATTCCAATGATTTAAAACCTTTGTTTGTTCACAAATTTCCTGCATAACATATAGTTGCTTATATATTTTAGAAGTCTAATATTTCTACAAGATTCCTCATTTTTGTTGGGAATGCTCACTTCCAAATATAAGCACTGCAAATACAAGGGAATAAAATCAAAGAATTACAAAAACCTTAGCAATAGCTTTATAAAAGCGATCATATTCTTCAGGTTCCACATCATCACTTTTCCTCATCCATATCGGCTTAACATTATTCACTTCTTTCCAATCCCAGGTTGTCTTCTCAACTTTTTTAGTTTTTGGCTCTGTTTTTTCATCTTCAACCTTTCCATCAGCATCATCAGTTTTGCCTTCCGACACTTCTTTAATTTCTTCTTCTACAGGTTCTTCGACTGTCTCAGTCTGAAGTGATATGTCTTGAATGTATCCAATAAATGTCTCTTGAAATTTGAAATTAGCAAAATGTTTGTCCAAAACGAAAAATATACAAATACCTTGGATTGCCACAAAAGAATGCTGTAATTGATGAACTGACTGTATTTTTCAACCAGTCGTTTTAGCGTATCAGGTTCAAGAAAATCATATGCTTCCTCTTTAAGGTGAAGTGTAACTTGTGTACCACGTTTGAGAGTCGTACCTCGAGGATCTTTTGCAATATCATATCTACAGAGAAAAGAAATTTTCAAATTTGCCTACAGAACATTTATAAAAAAGAAACAAAATAAAAAGTGATTTTGATAAGAAGTAGAAATATTGAAGTTGATCAACTGAATAGATACGAAAAGTAACTTACGATGAGCTGTCAGATTTCCATATGTACTGAACGTCATCGTTATGCTTGGAAATTACAACAACACGATCAGCCACAAGATAGGTCGAGTAGAAGCCTACACCAAATTGTCCAATCATATCCTGCTGTTGCTCAGATGGAAGCGACGAATCTAATATTTTTGAGACGAACTCTGCCGTTCCAGAACGTGCAATCGTGCCTAGATTATTTATAAGATCCGTCTCCGTCATTCCGATTCCAGTATCAATTACGTGTAGCAGGTGGTTTTCTGGATCTGCCTGAAACCAAGGACATGAAAAATTCCAGTCAGAAGTTTAACATCATAAGCAAATTAAACACGAAATTATACCTTAATACGTATTACGAGTTCATCAGTTGCAGAGAGAACATGTGGATCTGTCAATGACAATAAACGAATTTTGTCCAATGCATCTGAAGCGTTAGATATTAGCTCGCGAAGGAAGATTTCCTTATTCCTAAAAGATAATATGCATTGCTGCTGGGAATCAAGTAATTTACGATAATTTTACACAAACTGTATTTGTAATTCATATTATAGTGATTTTTATCATATGTAGCGCAGGACAAGCATGGAAAACATAGTACTATAAAAATAATTCGGGAATTAAATACACTGACTCTTCAAACTGAAGGGCAGTGCAACTTACTTGTACAGAGAGTTTATAATCAGATTCATCATTCGGCTCACTTCTGCTTGAAAATAATGCTTTTCTGCAAGAGCTTTAAACCCTTTACTTTCAGCAATAGAGAAGCCATCCAATTTGATAGCTTCCTCTTCCCTAAAATGATACTTTATTTTCATACCAATAATATCTCAAACAAAAAATTAGATTAATAAGTAGCAATAATGCACTGTTCACAACAATGTAGACTCCCTACTGCTAACAATAAAAAACTTAAAAAAAAACAAACCTTTGAACTACCTCGTCATCCGTCTTCAAGCCTGTCTTTATTTTTCCAATATTTTCCTTTACAATTTCTTCATCTAATTCAATGTCGGCGGTAACACGAGTGCTTGAGAAAAGAGCTAAAAAAGTTAAAGAATAAAAAAAGTTTAGAATGAATCCAAAAAACATCTACATTTCAGCCTAAGCTATTTATTTATAATAAATCTGATTTAATTCATAACTCTGCCAAAACCAGCTAACATATATCATTCAATCTTACAAGCATACGAGATGACTAATCAACACTTAAAATCTACACGATTAATCAAAGAAGCATAAGGTAAGTCTGCTGCTCTACAGCTTTCATGAAATATACTCTGAAATCAAGAAGATAGGATACGAGTCCGGACAAATCAATTGCTGATCAAAGCGGCTAGATAGAATCACATGGATCCACTTTAAGAGACAATAAAGTCATTTATGGGACTAAGATGTTCACTACTAATTTACTTGAACAATAATATTGTAAAACTGTTCACTACATGATTTTCGAAATGAAATAACTTACAAAAAGCGAGAAAAATAACAGTGAATATGACGAGACTTGCGGTATAATTACCCGCCATGTGCGTAGATGTACAACTGTTTGCAATACGAAGCTAAATACTAGTCTAACGAACAAACAAAAGATCACACTCCTGAAAAGCAGTCTCTACAGATTTGCAACTGTTTCAAAAATATTATGAAATAAGGAGCAATTGTGATAAGAGTACTTTCACAAACAGTTCAAATTTACAGTTTTATGAAAGTGAACTCCTCTTACTAATATTACTATATTTTTTAAAACTATGGAAATAAATAAAGGATTCAACACACGTAAACTTGAAGCTGCCACTATCACCAACCCCACTTCTGTACATTAACCTCATACCACACCATGCTTGCATCTCACTTTCCCATCCACCAATCATTACTCCTCCCACCCACCTTCCCTCAAGTTTACGTGATTAAACACAATTTGATTGGCCGATGGATTTGTAGACACATATACGTAAAGATTTTACGGGGACACTATGCAAATTACTGAAAGTTGTACAATGATATCACATGTAAATGTATTTAATGATGCAGTTGTAAGAAGCTGCGTTCCTTGTATTTTATTGTTATTATAGAATTTCTCCTGGAACCGTTCATTGTTTTTTGACTACATGAGCATACCTCTTTCAAGAGTGAAAAAAAACGCTACGCAGACATTTTTTGTCACGAATATCCTACTTGAAGAAGCCGTTTTTTCAAGACTACTCACTTGTTTGACAGTAATGTCTCTCATTTTATGCTCAATCCTTGTAATATATTTACATGTAGAAGAATTACTGTTAGAAGTCAGAATTTGTCAATTTCGTCTATTGAATTTTATTTTCTTACTTTTCTGCGGTTTCTTGCACATGTCTGATTACTCAATTATTTTTTAATCTCGCAGACATCTGTAGCTCTAAAGAGTTTTTCATATAAAAACGAATTGACAGCAAGTTACATAGTCTTCATCAGAAAGATGAAGAAAAAACTCAGGACTTATCAATTCTTTGAAGGAAAAAAAAGGAAAGAAGGATAAGCACGAATCTGAAGCGTAACAATACCAATTTTCTGGAATAGATTGAGATCAATACAAGCCTATGATAGATGAATATGACGCTTTAGGCATTTTAAGTGTGAGTGTTTGAGCAGAAATGACCAGATATTGGTGACATGGGGTTTATGACGGTATTATGGAACCACCGAATATTGTCTCATGGATGCACTGCAGTAATATACATCTGAGCTTCCAAATTAGCATCTGCAATTTCGGACTTTCATATAATTAGTTTAGTACGATATCACAAGGAAATGGACTAAAAATTACGCGATCAAATAATCCTCCCACAGTGTCTTGTTTTTTCTGCAACACTGTTCATAGTTTATGAAGAATGAAGCAAAGAACATATTCAGTGGTTATGATCTTTTGCTGCAATGAATTTCTATTGTTCTTGCATCTAGCATATTTGTATATCTCTTAATCCATTTTTTAGAATACATTAAGCAGAATTCTATTAAGCATATTAGCAATCGCTCATATATACTAGACCATTCACTTGAAAGAAAGGCGTTTAACATTTATCATATTTGAAAGCGGGTGCTCTCAAGATTTTCATCATTTTTTTCAATTTCCCACAAATATTTCAAACTACTGGTAATTTTGTTTTTTTTGTTTTCGAGTCGTATTAATTCATACCAAATTTGAAAAAGCTTTAATGTTGCTAAAACCATCACAAATCATACGTCCTTCATAAATTGAAAAATTATTCATATCTTACCAATGGAGCCCATTTTTAGTCTTTGATGAGTATATATACCAATTATAAAAACTGAATGCAGGTCTAGCTTTGATTGGAGACGTAGAATAAGCAGTTATATTAGTCACTGTATAGTTTAGTAACTGATTTAAATGACTGTACTATTGATAGTATTGCATCATCATATGTTCCTTATAGTTGTACTAGAATCATACTTTTGACCCATCATATCATGTTCTCATTTGGATTATTTTTATGATTACCACTGACTGTGATTTTCAGTGTGGTAAGTACCCAACATGACGGAAGCAACCACAGTCACATCATTCGATAACATTACAAACAATGTTCACGGTACGAATATTACTTACACGGCAAAGGAACAGGTTAAAAGTTGATTCTTTTCTTTTCTTTTTTGCTGCAAGCTCATATAGAATCTAAAATTACTCTTAGAAATATAATATTTTAAAAGCGTATATGAATCCAAGAGTTTGTCTTTATTCGTTGGCTTTAGCAACTATTAATCGTTATTAAGAATACCGTTAATTGTTGTTAGGAATATAGAATCCAAGTATTTAATACGTGAAATGGTGTTAATTGGTAAATAGGTTATACAACATTCATGGAAAAAATTAGTAGGCAGGTATTGTAAAGAGGTTATTGGTTGTAATGGTCAGTAGCCAATCAATTTGCTGTCATTTATTCGTATTTTCCTGTGTTTTTTAATATTTAATTTGTCGTTGTTTGCTAAAATATTTGTTTTAGACCATTTTAGTGACTCAGATAGTACAAAAAAATCGTGTCTCATAACTTGTTTTGCAGGTAACAGCTTATGGTTCACTATATAGCATGGCTTTGTTTTGTATTGTTGTCGGTAGCGTTCGTTCTTTGTATTTTGTGCAGAAACACATTCGTAAAAAGCGGCTCATAGAAACTTCGATTACAATGAAGGAAGCTAAAAAATTTCCATTTACTGCATCATGTGTTCTGTTTGGGCTGTATATATTTTTTAAGTATGTTTTCCGATTTTTATCGCGTATATTAAAATAAATATAGAAAGAATCAGAATGCATCAAGTTTTGTGTAAAATTTGACTTTCATAGATACAGAAGTTTTTCTCTAAAATTCTTTCACAATATTTAAATGATAAATTAGCAAATACATAACATTTACCAAATTCTTTTAGCAGTTCATTTGGCTAGTTTGCTTTTGTATTTTAGATGTGATACAGAATGTCGACATAGAATATATTTAATGATAAGTAGTTACTTACCTTCGCAACTTTCGTCACGTTTCGAAATTCTTCTGTCACTAACTAACGCCGCAGATATACCAGTACGAGCAGAAACTCCATCAAAAACATTGTTACAGAAAGCAATGCAGTTGTCATTTGTTAATCGAACCAATATAATGTATTTGCTGCTATTATTGTTATGTTGGGAAGGTGATGTAAAAGTTTTTCTAGTTGAAATTTTTCTATATGTAATCAAAAACGTAAATATGAGTACGGTATTCTCATTTTTTTTTTCTTTCAGCGTTATTGCTAATTTGTTTTTTTTTTAAGGATGTATTGCGCTGGCGACCATTTCGAAGCCGTTTTTTACATATCTGCTTCGCAAACTTCCTATTGGCAATCGTGAACCAAGGATGAATTATTCTTATTTTTGGTCTTTAAAAAAGAGTAAAGTAGAGCTGGAGGAGGGTGATATTGAGGAAGCATCAAATGATGATTGCGTGGGTTATTTAATTCGTAAGAATCTGTATTTTATAGAAATTTTTTGAAGTTAGTAGGATCAAGTTTTGGACGCACTGTATGTGGTTATTTATTGTTTTAGGAATATCTTTTGAAAATTGAGTGGGATTCTCATGATGTTATGGCCATACTATGTTGTTTGTGCGTGGGCATTTCACATGTTTACAGAAGACACTGGCTAACTAATAACATACTTGGTGCTGCTTTCTCGATTTATGGTATTGAAAGTATACATTTATGTAGTTTTAAGGTAATGGTTTCCTTTCTTACTTTTTCATGTCCATTCTTTTTTATTATTCCAGCATTTTAGATTCTTATAATATGTCTTATAATCAAACATTAGTGTTAAATACATTCTAGGCAGGAACAATGTTGTTAGCAGGACTGTTTATTTATGATATTTTTTGGGTATTCGCAACAGATGTAATGACAACAGTTGCGAAGGGTATTGATGCTCCTATCTTGCTTCAGTTTCCACAAGATATTTATCGTCAAGGATTTTATAGCGCTGAGAAGTTTGCTATGCTTGGTAAATATTTCAGTGTCAATTATAATTATTTATTAAATACATTACATTATTCACTGTGGTATCATGTAAAATATCTGTATCCTCATATGTAGCATCTTAGAAGTAGATCGTAAATCTTGCAGACTCCTGAGAATGTAACTTTTTTGTCTAGAGCGATTGCAGTATGTTAATTTCCTAGTCAATTATTATAGGCTTAGGTGATATTGTAATACCGGGAATTTTTATTGCTTTACTTCGACGATTCGATCATTCTGTTGGTGCGCGAAGTAAGTGCAAGAAGCCACGTTATTATTTTTTCGTAACTACGCTGGCTTACGGTCTTGGTTTAATGATTACAATGGGAGTAATGCATTTCTTTAAAGTATGTGATTGATTAATTTCAAAGATAGCTAGTTTCCGGACTTTAAGCTGTCTCATTATTAGTCTTTTATTTGTCGGGATAGTTGATGTCGACATAAGGGAACAAATTTTTAATGTCTGAGCAATCCACAAAGCTACTTGCTCAATTATTTACTATATTTTGGAAATCAAAATTATTACAGCATACAGTATCTTTGCTTTTTAGTTGCGTAAAACGTGATGGCTAACTAGTTAATCTACAATTATTTCGTAATACTTTTGCCATTTTCAGGCTGCACAACCAGCGCTCCTTTACCTGGTTCCGGCATGTGTGCTGGTTCCTTTATCAGTTGCCAGTTTCCGTGGTGAAGCTCGTGAAATGTTCAATTACTGTGAGGAACATCTAACGGAAAAGAAAACTAACTTAAAATCTTTGAAGAATGAAAAGAAAATTAAATAATTTCAGTAATAATCCGTCAATTCCAACACGAATTTATACTTTAATCATTGGTTTTGCTGCACTTTCCTTTTATGCAGTAAACTTTATTCTTTAACGAATTGTCAAAGAGCAAGTTTCAAGACAGCAAACTACGACTCTGTTTCCATTCCATTTCCAACATCAATTATCTGTAATCTGGAAACCGCAAAGAGCATTCTTGCCGTTTTTACTTATTTGCGTTGTTCTATCTGAATACTTTCAGCAACGATGTTACCTATGTGTTTTATTTTTCTACTTCAAGATTTGATGGTATAGTTATTTAATTAGGGATCTAGAATCTGAAAAGTATTGTCTGTATGATGCGATGGACAGAGCAGGTCTTTAACTGGTCCATTTATTTTATTGCATTGAATCCCAAATGCAATTCTGCATAATGTCAAGTTTCTAACAGCTGTCTTTTGTGCATTGCTTGTTAGAAATTTTGCTTATTAATAAGTAAATACTAATTCTTGTGAACCATACACAAATGCCTTATGGAGTCGTGCGACGTATGGTCATGATGAAGCAACTTTAAAAGTATTCCCTAGAGCAGTTGTATTTAAAGGTAATTTGTATCATTTGAAGGTATAATTTATCACACACTGACTCACTGCACATATAAGGCTGGGTCAATAAGGGTACTGAATCTTTGACTTGCGCAATGTTCCATGTTTCTGCAAGCAACAGATGACTCCAGCTGGCAGGTTCTGCGGTACCACTGTATTCCATTTTTTTTTTCTGTGACATTTGTAGCCGCGAGAGATATCAAATGCGGTAGAACTTTGATCACTCGAGGCCCACTCAAATAATACGAAATAATAGTGTTGTAAAATGAAAGCAGTGAGAGGAAGGGCAAATAGTAGAGACCGTTCGTGTAGCGATATTAGTTAACGAGTTTCTGATAGTGCAGCAATCACTAATAATTTCTTTTTGTAAACAGTAAGGTATTGCATATAGGATGAAAGTGAGTAGAAGTGGAGGCTAGTCGACACAGCAAGACTACTAATTCGCGATACGGCCCCGTAAAAGGTGATACAAGGGCTGATACCACTTTCATGTGGACACACGCGGAAGTGCACTCATCAATTTACGCATGAAGTATTGTTATCAAGAGGGAAATTAGATGTCACTATGAAGAGCTTCCCCGCAGCGACAACAGTTATGTTGGCTCTTCTACCCTACGGCAAGCAGCTAGGAAAGATGATCCGGATGAAAAGAAGAGTGACAGATGGAAAGCCAGGAATATAGACAGACACACACACAGCAGGCACAACCATAGAGCGCTATTACTTGCTGATAACTGGTGAGCATGCAAGTATCCGTGTATGTAGCGTTGGAGAGCAAAATAGACATAAAGCATTTATCAGCGTTACCAACGGTACCAGCAACCACCAGTGCATTGTCATCTATTCTCTTCTTGATAGATGTAGGGAGATGAAAAGTAACACTGATGAGGTACAGGGGAAAAGACGAGTGGAATAAACGGAAGGTCGTTGCCTACCCAACAACAATAGAAAGGACGTACGGCCATTGAAAAGAGATGACAATGAATGGAGACACGAAAGGTTGGTTGACACAAGCCAAAGTCTCTTCTATTATCAATCTCATACAGCAGACACCATACACCAACTCATGATCTTTTCACGTCGTCCATTGTTCCAGTCATCCTTCACTAACCACTACATACACCAACTACTGCTGCTGCTTCCGATATCACATGCAGATGCTCTCTCAAGCAACTACAATCACATTGTTATCGTTACTGTGTGATGAAAGAATCCCAATATATCATCATCCAGTTCAATCATTATTCTATCCAATTCTGACCTATTTTCAATCCTCTCACCACCATAATTGCTTTTTACTCCTTTTTATATATTGACCCTAAAATTAATAATGTGACTTACTATCTTTTACCGTTCATCAAAGTATCGTTTCAGCATTAGCATTTAGTAAGAACAAGAAAAGTATTTTGAGCATGGAGCATGAATATAACGCAAACTTTTCTACTCTCTCCATCATAACAAATGAACGAAAATTCATTCCATGTTACTTTACAATTCTTTTCATATACTATTATCATGTACCTTCCATACAACAATTGAACATTGTGATAAAATCAAAAACTATTATGACCAAACTTTTGCTCGCACCATTATACGATATTATGCACGCTTATTAATCAAACAAAAGAATTATGCAGATGATGAAAATAGCTGCGAGGAAAAGCAAAGAAAAATGCGAAAATGGACTAAATTTGCTGAAACGCGATTCGATATAAACATCAGACAGAATCAACGGCACCAATTTCAGTCCACATAGAAAACATTAAGATGAGAACAATGTATGCGTCGTAAAAGAGATGACTTCCACTAGCTAAAGACAACAAATCAACAAAAATGCTACTTTGGAATGGAAAATATAGATGAAGTGAATTAAAGACACACTGGTAAACAGAAAGAAATCAAATAAATGAACAAGAGAAAGCGAAAATTTGAAACAAATGGATAAAGCTCAGTAATGCGAAACATGCATACACAACGGTTTGGAAGAGATTAATTATGCTGATGTATCATCGGTAGTTCAAAGAAAAATTGGAAAAATAGCTGCTCATGAAGATAAGCAGGAAAAGCTACACAAATATTGGAACACAAAGCACAAAATATTAAAGCAGTGTCTTTGAAAATCTTTCGAATGGAGAAAATTAAAAAATTACATAAAATGGACTGCAAAAACCCGGCTGCTTGTCTTTATATATAACAAAGTGACTGTTCAAGATCGGAAGACATGTTCAAGCAATGAATATGCTCCTCAATAAACTAGATTAAAGAAAAAATAAAAGCAACAGGAGTTGCATAGGCCTAACTTAACTGCCACAAATGCGTCTTATATTTTTTTCCCCCTTAAAGCAGTTTATCGGGAAGAAATGATAAACTTCTTTCTACATCATGAAGCTGCTAATTACATGGAAATCATTGCAAAATAATTTGGTTCATCTCACAAAAATATGCAATTACCAAAAAACTCTAAATAAGCAATATCTGGTCCATTATCACAAGCGGCCAAGGCAACTCCATTTGATTGCTATGTACATAAGTGAGTATCAAATACACCAAAAAGTAGCAAAAAAACTTTCATTAGCATAATGATAATGAAACTATTAATACGATCTTTGCTGTTGAAGAAGTATTATGCCACACAATTACTGATTTTAGACCAATACTGAGACAAATATTCGGTTGGAAAGTTAGCACACAAAAACGTATTTGTAAACTGCTTGTTTGTTCATAAAAACATTAAAATTTTTGTAAACTATCAAAGATGGTGTAAATCAATGATCATACATGAATACTGAAATACCAAAATTAAATGGGAGACGCTTGGTTTTGGGCTTGTAAAGCGGTTTGTTCGAATAGTGGTTGTGTACCGAGATTTCCTTGCAATGCATTGTGCTGTTGCTCCAAAAGTGCCAAAGTGGCTGCGGCTGAGGGTGAAATTGAGATGAGAGAGGACAGGACTGCTTGTGGACTAGTAGAGACGCTGTCTTCCTCCTTGACACGGCGTCTAAAACGCTGTTGGATAATGTCCTTCCGCATATGTACTGGTCGATTAGTCTGCAAAACTACTTTGTTACAAAATATTTTTTAAGCTACATTACGAAGTAGTTTGTTCTATATCTTATCCATTGAATAAGGTCATTTAGTTAGAAAGAAAGGTCGACTACAGTAAGAGGAAATTCTTCACAGAGTGAATCATAGTGACTGCAAATAATAAACTAGTCACTGACAACCACTGAAAACTTACCCTATGTAAACGGTAATAAAGGCCGCACGCATTGCATACTAATTTACCAGTTTGGTCCCTCCTCCAAGCCGTCGTTTTTGTTGTTAAGCAGTTGCTACATCGAGACATTGATGGTGTATTTATAGAGCTGTTATTACTAGTATCCTCTTCTTCCTGTAAATAACAATATTCAAAAATTTAACCAGACAGTACTGCGTCTCTTTTTCCCCTTATCCTACAAATCTTATTACGAATTAAAACTAGCAACAAGCAGATATAGAAAACTTTCAACAAATTCAACTAGTACTTGTAAGGTAATATTACATGTCTGAAAAACTGTGGAAAAAAAATTACTTCCATGACAAGGTCATTCATTCCATCATCAGTGCTATTTGGCGTTGATGAAGCAGGTGGATGGCCTATAGTAGGTTGCTGGCATAACATCGACAAGATGTTCTGCTGCGCCGCGGCGTTCACTCCAGTATTAGCCATTAAATTTGCGGCCAAAGAGAAAGAATCGAAAAATGCTGGATAAATAAAACCATCTGTTTTCAAAGCAGCTTCTAATGCTTTTTGATTCGCAATCGATTCCTGTGTAAAATAAATTTTTGGAAAATTCGATAAATTACACTTCATTTAAAATTCCTTCCATATCAGAAATGGCGCTAAGTGAATGTGACTTGTAAGCGGAAAGAAAATTGAACTCTTTCAAAGTAATAAGTGAAGATGACCAACTTTTTTACCTAAGCAATAGCTACGAAATATCTACCCAATCTCCTAATGCAATTTATGAATAAATGTACAACCTACCATCAGATTATGAGTAAGCAAATTGCTACTGTTGTTGACTTTTTCTACTTTATGAACCGCTTCTCGGTTTGGTTTCCGTTTCCGGCTACCACTTATGTGATTATGATTGTGATTGTCTATGGGTGTCACTTCTCTGAAAATTAACCAGAATATTGCAGTAAAAGTCAAAAACCGAGACTTGAAATTACTGAAAACGCAGAACCAAATTCTTTTAAAAAAAACATAAACGAATCTCCAATGTATTTCACCTTTCCACATTCCCTAGAGTCGCATCATTACTTTCAAGAAATGATGGCGATGGCGTTTCTTTTTCATCAGTTCCACACTCAGAAACCTAAAGAATCTTAATCTTAGTGTTTTTTACTAACTAACGTCTCTAAACATAAGATTAGCACTTTTCCACAATGAACAAAGATATCTTACCACTTCATCTTTCAAAGCTATCGACCTTTCAGTTGCATTTTTATCATCTTCAGCACTGACTGCGACGTCAACTCCATTTCCAGACTGCCTTAGTGCAAATAACGTTTCAACCCGCACACGCAATTCATCTAATTTATCAGACAACTGAGCCACACAATCCTGATATGGAATTAACATTGAGTAATGAAAATTACTAATTAATCTTGAAAGAAAGTTGAAAAGAGAAGGATAATCCAAAATTATTATGAAAAAATGTAGGTCTGATAGTTAATGCACAAGCACACGTGCCAGTAAATAAATTTGAGACCAGTTCAGTGAGAGACTAACTCGGTCATTTAAAAGTTAATGACTGATCTAGTCCATCACGGAATTTCAAAATTTATTGGAATTAAATTTGGAGCTAAGCGAAATTAAACCTTTATATCAGCATGAAGTTGCCGACAAGATGCACAGCCTACATTTGTTGTTAATGGGAGAGGAGAAGAAGCAACCATTGTCATCCTTGCTACACACGCACACAGCTCTATCCCGAATGTTTTTTCAGTTGAGATCGATGACGGTGCCTTAAAAAGAAAATATGACGTCACTTTGCAATTTTTAAAATAATATGTGATAGGATTTATGGAGAACTTGAGCAAGAGCTTATAAAACCATCTAAAACAATGAGAAAGATTTTCAAGCAAGAGGTAGAAAATAACGAGAATCAAGAGAAAGCTCACTTTAAAATCAAAAGCCTCATAACAAACAATTTGCACAGCTTAATTGTTGTAGTAGAAAACATCAACTCCAACAACTACAGATAAACAATTAATAACGATGAGTTTTATAAAGAGATGTTCACAAAAAACAAAAATGATAGTATGAACTCTAGCGTGAGGTGATGTCAGCAAGAAGTTAAATTTAAATTACTTATAGATTCCGGAAGTAGAACAAAGGAATAGAAGTAAAGCGTTAGAAGCAGTGTTGAAAGATGAACAAGATAAGAATCATAGGGTAGGATGAAAATAGGAACAAGGTGATGTGCAAATACTGCGGTGATGGAAAGCTGTAGGAATGCCCCATGAATCACATCAGCAGGTACTGGCAGTACCCTCAATAAAACCAGTTCATAGCACGGTCACTTGAGGCAAAAGGAGGAGAAGAGGACAGGGGGTGATTAAGAGAAGTAAAAGAGGTGACACACCAGCGCCTAAGTTAGCCATCGGACACTCAGTGCCATTAGCACAAGGAACTGTTATTTGTTAACTTAGGGGCATACTCTTCACTCAATACAATGCCAGTATTGTTACCTACCTCCCTCCTAAATGCTACTATCAGAGATACCTACCTACCTTTCCGTTCTGTGTCAAACAGGTCAATCAAACACATGTCACCTAATGACAGACACGCCTCCTTTATGTCACATAGGTTATCCATGCATGAATGTTTATTTATTTGCATATCTCACCAGCTTTCTATCTCCCGAATCTCCCACTATCCACATCTCTTATCACGTGTTTCTTTCCTACATTTAAGTAATGCTATTTCTAAGCCATATTGATCCTTCAAGCTTTCTCGCAATTCTCGAGAGAACGCATAACCTTTCGTTAAATTCAAATTTAACAGTAGTAATTCAGTGCCTTTACTCAGACTCATTAAAAACAGGCATTCTAAACAGTATTGCTTATGCTAACAGTAAAAGTTTAGATTCTTTGCAATGAACTTCTATCATTCTAACTATTAAAAAAGTACAGTGATAACTGGATTTGCTGAACGCAATAATTTATGCCATTTCAAACCGAATCCGATTTAGCAAATTTATAGCTAATGAGTTTACAAACATAGAAGATGCTTAAAATACTATACCTCAGTTTATTACTATTTATCATTACTATCTAAAATACATAATGCAGATCCATGAAGAGAATGCATTATCTGCACTGTAGATCGAATAACTTCTGCGAGACATAATTGGAGCATCTTAGTAAAATCATACATGAATACAAATGAAACTACGTAAGTTACGAATTGGACAGTTTAATAACGCACTTCTAGGTAAGATTTAGATTGCATAGCATTTATGTAAGAAAATAAATCTAAAAGTTAGTAAAAGAATACGTTAAAAATAGAGAAAGATTGTTCAGCTGCAAGCGCGATTTTTTTAAATTATGACAAGCTACTTTAAGAGTGCACTGAAAATAAGACAAGTTTAAACGTATGAATATTGACAAGTTAATCATCATGAAGATTTAGAGACAGAATTATATTCATGAGTAAAAAGATCACGATATTTCACGGAAAGAAAACCAAATATGAAATGAATGAGAAAGTTTTGCAGATGAAGTGATAGGAGCTCTGTTCAGATAACAGATAGGACACCAAAAAGTGATCGATCTACATCAATACAACTGATCGACTTCAGCCACTTTTACAACAGTAACAAACAAATATATGACTAACATACTCTACGTGATACCGTGGTGATAGTTCATTTCGCAGCTCCTTTACTTTGAAATCTCCTTGATTAAATTGTTATCATTGTAAAGATGAAGTACTCAATTTTTGGCTATTGATGAACAATAACACCTGGTATTAATGCAGCTGAAGGTTGAGAAGTGATAATTTCAAAAGCACCACCTCCAAGAAATGAACTGCAAGTAGGCCGTAAAGCTGAAGGCCGTGTTGGCAAAAGTCGTTTAGAGCATTTTATGTAAGCCTGTGCAAAGCAAAACTCCAACACACTCTGTTTATTGATAAAGTGTTTGTATGATCGTTAAGCACATCAGCGTTTTTCCACAAATTATAGCAGGAAGGAATTGCTCAGCAGATGCCACAACAACAAAGACAGAAGCGATGGGGACAGGAGGAATAGTAAAAGGGGTAGAGTGAATAAGTAGGAGATAGCAAAGTAGCTTAAAACAGTTTTACTTGCTTGATTTTAAATGCTTGATATGCGTCAACTGTTTACGTATTACTTAGCGTAGCCTTTAAAATGAAGTTGCGAAGGACAGATCCAGAGAGGAAATGTAAGCCAAGGAGTCAGAGTGAGAATGGTTGAGAGAGAGAGAAAACGAAGTGGAAAAGACATATCTCATCGTCAGCAGTGAGCAACATAATCTGTCACAAAGAACAACGATCTCGATCAATCATTCTCACAATACCTCTGTGGCGTTCTCGCTTTCGTTACAGATGCGTCCTCATGTGTGAATTTATCGACGACAATGACAACGACAATGACAACAACGATAAGGTTGTCAGATGGTGGTGTTCACCCGATGCTGTGCCTATTATCGAAAAGTGATTAAGAGGAAGTGATAGCGAGCGAGGAAAGTAGTAAGTGGCAGTGACGAAAGCATCCACTTGTCTCTCTGTTTTGCTTCAGGCCTCTGATAGCACTTATCAACCTCAACCAACCACTCACTTATTCACATATACACCACTGCCATTCATTGTCACTATTGCCACTACCAACACCATTATCATCGCCAAAAGCGTCATGAAACAGCACAGGACATCAGAGACTGCAGTACTGAAGCAAGCAACACTATCATCTCATTAACATAGCAGTAGCAGCAGTAGTAATAATAATAGTAGTAGTAGTAGTAATAATAATAGTAGTGATAGTAGTGGTAGTAGTAGTTACTAGTACTAATACTACTAGTAGTAGCAGTATCACCATTACTAGTTCGAGAGCATTCCAGTGTGTCACTGCTACTCGCACGTGTCCTCCTCTTTCCCCATAATCTCCCTCTTTTGCTCCCACTTCGGCTATTGTTAGCGCTAGTTACCAAAACAGACCCACCAAACTACAATACAACTCAAAATTCATTTTACGCGGATTAAGAGAGAAATAGCTGTCCTCAATTTCTGTCTGTTAAACCACAAATTCATACTACTTTCCCTCTTTTCAAGTAAACATCATTATCACCATATATTTTCCACTGTCCAATTTGAAAATCATTTAAATAATTTCTGACAATCTCCGTTAATATCAAATCCCTCTCCTTCCATAATTCCCGCTCTAGCTCATCATACCTTCCATTCTCTCCAAAATAACACTGCCCTTCGCAATTCTATCGATTTTCCCATCATATCATTGATAAAAATGACAGATGCAAATAATCCTCAACTGATACACCCTGCTACGCTCATCAATGCATCACAATCGATTTTCCTCGAAAATTACTGATAACAAACTAGGTGTGACAATTTGCTACAACAAAACAACGATGTCGCAAGGAAAGCAATGTTTCTCATGCACCAACAAATCATAACTTTCATTTTTGTGATCGTTGCTAACTTCTAGATAGATAGTCAGCAGACTGGATGCAGTCATATCAAACAACAGCTGCAAACAGTAAAAAGCAAAAATCACGCAACCTCATTTGGCTTTAATATGTATTCGGGAGTACAAGAACCCCGCATGCATCACCTCACTACTGGTGCTTGTATCTCTTGACAGATGAATATAAATTGATGCACATAAATTTTATTATGCTGACAGTATGAAAAGCAATTAATTTTACGAAGCTGCTATCCTTTGAGTTGGCGCTAAACACAACAGTTACACTTAATGTTTAAAGCTTAGCTTGGCTGTGTCTTCAAGTTCTGTTTTTTAGAAAAAATGCTTAAAAAGCTCCGTAAAAACAAAACTTGTATCGGAGCCTAAAGGATGACTTATAAAATGTAGACCTACTTCAACTACCCACTAATGTATTCAAAGTGAACCATACATGATACGCATGTCAGTACGGTGGTACTGGAGACTGATATTATCCTTGTTGGTAATAAACACGACAGATATAATTTTGCTAATATTTTGATGTAGAGCAGAGAAGAGCCAGAAGGAACGAGATAAAAGAATGGATGGATAGATGGATTGAGAGAGCGGCGACTGACTGATAGGAGGGAGGGATTGGTTAAAATTTATGTGGTGAAATGGTAATCAATGTTTCGTGAGTGATATGCAGCAGGAGTTTGAAATGGGGTGCGCAGTCATCATCAGAACACAAACACGATTGAAAGGATGTGGAGGAGGCAAGGAGCAAGACGAGAGGTGGAGGGGAGAAGAAAAGGAGGTGTGGACGAAGTTGAGGGATTATGTTAATGGCCGTGGACGACGACAGAGGTCAACCAACCAGGTAGGTCATTTCTCTTAACAAACAAAACATCTGCTGATTACGAAGACAATCTATGAATCTCAAATTTCATGCTTTTTGCCAAACTTTCAAGCTTTCAAACAGTAATGGAAGTCGTTCAAAGATTTTAAAGAACGATGAATACGAGATTAATAACGAGAGAGCGGACAACCAAGTAAAGTCAAATTTATGTGATGTATATCAGTAACATGAAAGCTACCTTTACTATGGATAAATGCTATAAACGCGGTGTGCAATTGAACACTGGTTCACCTGCAATGTACAGTAAAGGATACGGCGTTGTTCACTACACAAATGAGTAGAAATGCAGTTTCAAATGAAAGCAGACGAAATAGGCAAGTTGAACAGGATGATATTGAAAGCATTACTTCTTTCTTTCCCTTTCATCTATTTTATTCCCTGTAATTTTGAGGATTTTTTTTTTCAAAAAAAGAACGCTACCACAAAATTTTGTTACATAAAGAGAGCTGAGAGTGCAAAGAGTCAGCGAGTACACGAGTAGATGATCTCGTTCATATGAACTACTCCTTGTGCATTATTATCTAATCAATGAAGCATGATTCAATAAGAAAACAAAATTACTATTATAACTTGTGCTAACCTATGTAGTCAAGGGGATAAATATGGCAACGAAATGATGTTAAGCGTACATACCTGGTGCTTCCTCCCCGTCATTGCATGTAAGCTCATCAGCAAGCAGTCTCACAAAGCACGTCGGAAGCCATAATCACTGCTTGATTCTGACCATTCCTCATGAAGCACATGGAAGGCTGTGTGTGATCAGTAAATGCAGATGACCAGATGATAAGTTCCAGTAGCTAAAATCTTGAGAGACCGCTCGTTTATAATCGTCATTGAGAATGCATGGAACTGCCCATACCATTTGGACCAATCAGTCTTCTCTCTGGAACCTAATTCATTTTTTCCTGAAATTCTTGCACTCATATATCGCTGATTAACTCAAGCTTATTGCTATCCCAACAAGGCATTTTTATTGCTCAGCTCTCAGAGTAGATGAACATCACTACCCACACATCGACTTTTTCTTACCTGATACTTTCACTACTACCAATACTTCCTGTCTTCCATTTCTCATCATTTATGTAGGTGTAGCAAATCCAGACCTTGTTACTACTAAACCTGAGTTGTAGTTCAGATGTTTCCTCGGTAAAATCAACTTTTGCTGTTTTACCAGACTTATAAACCCCAGCCAATTACCAAACCTATACTTCTTACACTGTTCCATCCATATTAAATGCGGCTATTTTATACCCTCTCACTGGTATCGAGTTTAACGAACACAAAGGCGAAAATCCTCAACACCTTTTCTCTAAATAAATGAAACACATGCTGTTTTACGAACCACTACCAAACTCCAATTGTGAAAACTACTGAAACTAAACAGTTACCATCTTGGATATATAAGAGAGATTTAAAAACTAATGCGATAGGGACCTCCGAAATTTGTAAAATCTACTTCAAGGATGTTAAAGTTGACAAAAAAATTTCACTTTATCAGCTATTAGATTTTAGAAAAACAGAGGCAGTTCAGAAACACTCGACTTACAAACCACGTGTAACAACTATTTGAAAACAAATTTTCATCTTCCACAGATATCTGCAAATAGAACACGGAAAGCACACACCCACTAAAAGACTTGCACTCACAATAATATTAAGAATAATATACAAATTAAGACATCAGATCTCATGTTTTCCATCAGCTTGACTAGATGACTTCTGTCTAGAAAATGTTTGGCCTTAAACATGATTAATTTTTTCGCGGCATCCAGGAGCGTGCAAATCTGGTCTGATTTTGATAATAAATATAAAATGTAGCAATTCATTAAACACCAAAAGTTCATGAAACATTAAAAATCCGAAAGAACCTTTCAACAGCAACAATAAGCAAAGCAATAACATCATATATGTGTTAAGAAAGTCTAAACATGACAGTTTTTTCCATCCATATTTACGAAAAATCCGTACAAAAAGATTGTCCCTCATTTTTTACTAGGTAAATAACTAGGATTTTAATGCGGTCTGAAATGTTCCAAGCTAATAATTCCGGATAAAAGGCAATATTAATTACCAAATTGATCTAGAAAATGCTTTTTACAAAAAGCTTTATTAGCAACAAAGTAAGATGCGCACCTCTTTGTTGGTTCACTATAATTACTCGCGGAATAGTAGATAAAACTAACTGCTAAAATCTGGCAAATTTTGTACAAATTTAGAAGATAATGATGAGCATATTTAGTCGATCTTTACAGTCGAATAAATTTTATGAACGAATTTGGCTGCACCCCAGTAGCCGATAGTACCGCACATCAATCCGAGGGCTGCACTAAATAGACCCATGTATCCGAAATAAAATGCAGTCTGGAAAAGCCCATACATCCTAAAAGAAAACATTCAACAATTATTAAAATTTCAAATGCCAAAACATTGGAACAAATTGTTCCAAGTGATTGCAAATAAACTTATTTTGAAAGTAACTAACTTTGTCTTGAATAGAAAATAATAAATTGAATACAAATAAACGTAGATAGAAGTAGATGCTCCCACTAAAAAACTTGTCCATCTCCTGAAAGAACTAGCATCACTGAAATATGAAATACAACTAAAAACAAAGCATGATAATAACGATTTGTGACAAAAAGTTTACCATCGGTAATCCTCAGCATTCAAAAGAAAATAAGTGCAAACAATTGTGACGCACATCGTAACAATCGCAAGAATCAGGGTAACAAGCAACATAAAACCATAGACGTAGTATATTTTGTATGCCCAAAATGATGTGAAAACGAAGTACCTGTAAAAATGGGAGTTACTGCTGCTGTCTCACAAACTTTAGAGAATATCTAAATTTACAAGGAAATAACAATTACATTTCAATAAAAATGGAACCGAATGGTAAAATGCCACCAAGAAGAACAATTAGTGACGGCTCTAAAAACCACTTCTTATCTGGAATCGGTCGCGGAACAGCATTTACACGACATGGATTATCAGTTTGCCCCTTGACATTGCGACCTAATTGAAATAAGATTAAAATCTTAATTTTACAAGTTTATTAAACAAAACTTTTAAAATATTATGCAATTATAACTAACCAAGTACAGTGCCAACTAAAGTTAGAGGAAGAATGACAAATAAACAAATGGCGGTTACAGCAAGCATAATTGGAAATGGAATGGCTCGAGAAGCATGGTATGATATAGCAACAATATTGACTATGAATGCCACTGATGACACAAAGACTGGTAACAAAAACGCACCAATTACCATCTGACGTATCCATCTGTAAGAGTATGTGATTAATCAGATTCGCAAAAATACAAATGAATTTTCCCATCCCGAAGATAAAATGCTTACTGTTTGCCACCAAATCGTGCATACATAGAACCACCGGTAAAACCATTGACAGGAGATGCTGCAGCATATACAAAAATAGCAGCGCTTAACAACGACCCTCTCCTAAGACACAAGAGTTTATTTAAAAAAGTAGAAAACAATTACTGAAATTACTTGATTGTCATGGTTCATTAACTGCCCTTGATAGCAAAAAATAAATAGTGAATTCGTATTTGATTCCTCAATCCTTGATGATATGAACAGAAAAAACATACTCAGTATAAAGTTCGCCAATAATAGCAAGAATAATAGTGATGATAGCAACTGTAAAAACGTGATATCCAGTACCAACTAGACAAGAAAAAAGCATTGGAAAAGATGGTGTTCTGAACACATCTCCGTGAACTTGTTTCCAACCGTATTCATCTCCTAAATCTCGCTCCTGAAAAAATATTGAAACGAATAATTGAAATCGCACCAACTAATGGATGCAGCTCAAAGTAGATATGTTATTATTTAGATTTTTGTAATTTTCGAAAGTTTTAAATTCTAAAAGTAAAGTGAGCAAAACAAAAATGTACAAATATAAAAACTGCACCATGTCATCAAGGTCTTCATCTTTCTGATAACGAGCATAATCTTTCTTCAGCGTCCTCATTAGTATCATCCACACTAATCCAACAAGAAATATCACCATCATGAATGAGTTGAAAATAGAGAACCAGTGTATCTAGAATTCAAGATAATTTTAACAAAAGATAACATTTGGTAAATAACTAATGACAAATCTTGTATTTCAAAATAAATGTACTCTGTGCTGAAAAAAGGTCGGATCCAAGTATTTATCAAAACGTTTATTAAAATCAACACCGGACGATTTCCAAACAACTTCATATGAAAATGAAATCGTTGAATCAGGCGTCAGAGTAATGCGTACATCTGAGGTTACATTGACATCTACAATCTAAAATCACAATGAATCATTTTTAAGACAAAACAATTAACAAAACACAGTTTATTAATTACTTGTTTTCCATTATAACCAATTTCCAGCTTTTTATGGGTAAAAATACGATAGTTGGGTGGAGTTGTTGACGAATCAACTTCACCGACCATACCTAAAACGACGCTGTTTACATCGACGACTACATAATGACCAAACTCAAGGAAGAACAGAATGAATTTATTTTATTAATAATCTAAACTTTCAAATTATTTAATTCTAATGAAGACACTAACCATACATAGGCAATTCATCAAGATACATCTGATACCAGTAGTTATTTTGTACAGCATAGACGAACTGTTTGTAATCCTCTTCGCTAAGAGTCTTTTTGCAAAATATTTTTTTTTCCACATTTTCTACAAAACCGCTTTGTCAGATAAAATTAAATTACAATTCATTAATCGTATGTAATTAAAAGTCTACCTTTAAATTTGATGTCTAATCCAGAATAATCTAGTTCAACACCCAACAAGGCCTCTCCCAGCGTCTCATGGTAATGACCAATTGATTGCTTTGGTCCACGACAAAATGGCAACGAAAAATATGTGTAAGTTTCTTGTCTATTACTGTAAGGACCAACTGTGTTCATCCACAGAACAATCTAACAAAATGCGTATTTTAGAAAAATAAAATGTATATAAACTAACTTACAACAGCATGAACTGCTGAGATGTTATTAGGTTCTAGTACTATTTCACATTAATAACATTTAAACTTGATATATCTATTATATGAGGCTAAAATTTATGATGAAAATAAGATATATGCCAAATTACAGTTGGCTCATTCAATGTATCAGCTTTCAGTTCTAATTAAATTAGCACAACTTAGAACTTATAAAGAAAAAAAAATTACAACATACGGCTGCGCCACATATCATTAATAAAAATTTGGCTCTTTTCAAGATAATAGCAAAGTCACAGAGAGAAATAACAGCTTTAAAAATTCCTCATTCCGATTTTGAATTTGTCTTCCAATTCCATAGCAAATTCCCTACACGCAAATTCATCTTATGATAAATAAAATAACTAACTTCTTCACCATCATGGTATAGATGATCATGTTCGTCGGCCTTCACAAAAAGAAACCCCCATAGCACTAATGCACAGGTGACGCCACGCATTGCTCGGTTAAAGCTCATAAAACCACATTATTTACATCCATATTTTAATGACAAAAAGTAGTGAGACGATTGTAGTTAAATAACATGTCGCAATTAAAAGACAAACCCACGAGCGAAATTGACGCAACTAAAAGTGTAACTTACGAGCACTCAATTCAGTGATGAATACTAAGAAAAAGCCTAGAATTTTTCAAAAACAAAATATTTCCACACCTGTAAAAATAAATATGCTGTTCGAAAAATCAATAATAAAGAAAAATGTTAGGCATTTCAAAATAATATCTCATAAAAAATTAAGGTGAACAGCTTGATGGCTCAATATCGCTATACAGCAAGAGATTCTAACAATATTTCTACGGTTTATTATTTCCTTTATAATATATACGCTTCATTATGAATGCTACAGAAGAAAATTTGCATAACTCGTAAAAATTTAAACAAGAAAACAGTTGAACAGTTGATGCGTGGATAGTATGCATGGTATTTGATGCCTGAATAAAGGGCAGATTCAAAGTTCGTGAATACAAGTAATTTTGAAGAAATAATGCAAAGTATGAAAAAATGGATTTAAGAGCACAAGAAAGATGTATAAACAAAATAAAAAAATCTCGGCAATTTTGTCATACAGTATGAATGAGGTAACATGTTTAAATCAATGACGAATAAATTTTGAATTTATAAAGAACGAAATAGTCTTTAATATAGATTCGAATAACTCTTTCACCCAGTTTAAATGATGACTTTTTTTAAATATTTTGCTTTCATTTCAAACAGAATTTGAATATGAAATCTGTTTATTTAAGCTATCAAGCATATTTTTATATACCGAGATAGATGCCTAAATTTTATATATTTTGCTAAAAAACAATCACTTTCACACAAATTCACAAATCAAAAATCTTATAATCAAAATGTAAAGAACTTCAGTTTTAAAACGACGGCTACAAATAATCAAATTTAAAAAATATAATTAACTCATTTCATAAGTGATGATCTAAACTTTGATATTACTGAATCCTAACAAAAATACTAACCATGCATAGGAATTCATCAATATACATCTAATATCAGTAGACATCAAGAGCTTATTAAGTAAAAGTTTCCAATAGCAAATCTAACTAATACATGCATATGAAAGAGAAAAATCACAAATTTGTTTCGAGTGAGAATGTATTTGATTACCAGCCCATAATTGCATTTTACTCACAGAATTGAATTTTGAAAAATTGATAGTAAATGAATAAAAATAAACAACAATAATGCTTCAGCATTCTATTTGATTAATGGTTAAGTTCTTTTTTGACAAAAATGACTGACAGAATTTGACAAAAAATTACATCGTAGAATCACAGTATTGAAATATGAAGGAGAAGTAATTTAGAGAAAAAAAAAAGCCTGACGGTTTTAGAAATATTACAAATTAAGATGATATGCTAACAAAAGAATAATTAGTCACTAATATTAATCAATTAGTAATCCATTTGTTAACTTATTTTTTATACATTACCAATTTTTGCAATAGTAATGAGCAAGTATTTACTCAAATACATACATGAAGAGATGAAAGTATGAAAAACGAGCACCTGTTGCATGTCAGATTACTAAAACTGTTGCCTACACTAAACACTTCATTAACTAGTCCATCTAAACCACCTAGCTCAAGCTAAACACTACGCATTTGATAATCAACGGCTGATGTTTTCAGAGGACGAATTTTAGATTACTTAGCCACCATGAAATTATTCAAATCACAAATGAAATTTATTATAAAACAATTACAACGATGTTTGATGTAGTAATTGGACAAGTTAACTATTTTTTTATAGGAAATAATATTTAATGCTGTGATAATTTGTCGCTAAATGTGTTAGGATAAGATGTTGCGTGTCGAAAATTTGGCATTAAGCGTTATTGTAGCCATCTCTTGGTACTTTTTTTAGAAACTGATATTGAGATATGGAATCCGTGGAGAAGGCTATTGCAAATGCAGTAAAGTATCGGAAATTCAATTCTTTAATTACTGAAACCTTTGATGTGGCTCGTGGGCAGGCTAAGGAAGCTCTGAAAAGGAATAAAACACCATTTCCTGTGGTTGTCAAAGATTGTTACATGTATATACACAGTATTTTTTCTGTTGTATTATCTTATTCTTTAACTCCTTCTATATATTTTTTAAGATTTCAACATGCTATTTGAGATACTGATTTCTCTTACTTTTTTTTTACTAATAATTGTTTTTTAATTTTGACTTTGAAGAAGTATATTATTGTAATGAACAAGTAACTACTGTGCTTTATCATTTGAGCTTTATAAGAAATAAAAATACAGATTCATATATGATGTAAAAAATTAAGTTTCTTTGCAAATTTCTAACAAAAATTTGGTTTTTTATGATAAAGTTATCGTTCTTTGTGAGTTATTTTTTTAGGATAAAGAGAATGCGAACAACTTGTGCATCACGGAATTTGTCAAATTTTGTTTCACCTTATACTGCTTCTGTTATCAGTAAATTAGTTGAAGAAGGTAAAATATTTAATTTGCCTGATAGTTTCGAATTTTTTGATAATGGATAACATTTTCAGGTGGCTGTATTATTGGTAAAGGTAATATGGATGAATTCTGTATGGGGACTTCGAGCTCAACAGGTTACTTCGGGCCCGTAAAAAATGGAATAAGTGATGAAACAAATCTAGAAAACGATTGGAGAATCTCTGGTGGATCTTCTGGTGGCTGTGCAGTGGCTGTACAACTAGGAATTTCGTCTGTGTTAGCATTTTCAACATTAAAATGCAGTTAAATTGTACTCGTTACATAAATATGTAGTATGTTAAAGGTGTTTAAGATAAGAATTGTTGTAGAAGTATAGGATCAGATACTGGAGGTTCGTCGAGGAATCCTGCTGCATTTACTGGGCTTTTTGGCTTTAAGCCTTCTTATGGAATCTTGTCAAGACATGGACTTGTTCCCTTAGTCAACTCACTCGATTGCCCATCTATAATCGCAAATACTGCTCAAGACTGCAACTTTTTACTTCGTAAAATTTTATTCTTTGTTTAACTTATTTTTGAAACAATTATTTTGGTGTTTTGCATTTCTGACACGTATACTATATATGTATATAATAGCACAATGGGCAGTCAGCCATGATTGTTGTATGTGGTAGTGGAGTAATAAATCTTTATTTTATAATCATACTTTTTTTGAACATTGCATTGGTATATTTTGTGAGATGCCTGTTGTTTTGTCATAAATTAAAACTCCATGATATATAATTGGAAGTGGATTAACTTTACTTAATTTTTCAGGAGTGATGCAAGGCCGCGATAAGTTTGATTCAACTTGTTTTGATGCACCATCATCTTGTTTTATGTGGAATAAACCAGTTGGTGGATTAGTTGTCGGAATCCCTAAAGTTTGTATTCAGAAAATTTTTTTTCAATGCGAGTGATTCTGAAAATCTTGTTTTTTGATGCGAGTGGATGACCTAAGATGATAGTGTGCTGAGTTTAAAGCTATATGAGGTCTTGCAGTTATACTAAAAGACACATTTATCAACAGGAGTATTACAATGAAACTCTTTCACCAGAGTGTTGGCATGCTTGGAACGAAGCAGCAAAATCTCTTATAATGTTAGGCTGTAAGATAAAAGAAGTGAGCATGCCATTCACGAGTTACTCAATAATCTGTTATCATATACTTGCCGAAGCAGATATCACCTCAAATATGGCGCGGTAACCTGATTTATCAATTCTGAAGGTCTGTGAATAGTGCAAAATCTTTGACATTATCTTCATTGATATTTTTCAAGCTCATACCATTTTCAGATACGATGGTGTAGAATTCGGTTACAGATCAAACTCTGAGAAGTCAGTTACTACTCTTTATTCCGAAACACGAAGTGATTCACTTAATGAAATTGTTCGTAGAAGAATACTGGCCGGAAATTATTTCTTAATGAAACGGTAGAACTTAATCTGCTTCATGATTTGAAGAGCCAACCTTAAAAGTCACTAAAACTATAGTACGTAAAGTGTAATTATTTTACAGTTTGTCATACTTAGTATATCTGTCGTCACATATGTTTCGTCCACATGTTTTTTGCAGTCATTATGACAAGTACTTTGGTCAAGCCCTTCGTGTGCGTCGTTTGATCAAAATGGATTTTGATCGTGTATTCCAAGAAAATGGCTGCGATATTTTGCTAACTCCTGTAACTAGCGGTATACCTCCACTTTACTCGGAGCTTAATGACGCTGATAGCTACAAGCGTGAACGTGCAGACGACTTCTACACGCAACCCTGTAACATGGCGGGTGTTCCAGCTATTTCAGTACCTTTTATGAAAACGGAGGACGGGTTTCCTGTTGGAGTACAAATCATTGCTGATTACTTGAAAGATGGTTTGGTGCTGGATGTTGCACAAAAACTAAATGAATACTGTGGTATTCTAAAATGTAAAAGTGTAATTGATACAAAATGATAATGTTTATAAACATGAAATCATAACTGAATAGAAACGTAAAAGATGTATCTGAAATGTATTACAAACTGCCAGATTTCATAAGACGCCGATCCCTATACGTGTTTGTATCGAGTGAATAGTGAGTGTAAAATACGCAAAGTACTCTTCAAATCACCGTTAACAATATCTTGAACTCGGGCACGTGGTCGTTGCAATGCGGCTTCATACATCAGTTGGTATGCAAACGTGACGTTGCGTACTTTCTGCTCGTACGTCAATGCCTAAACTTTTGCAGAAATATGAATTCTTTGAGATTTGGATATAGAACTGTCAGGTAAAGAGTACTTATATTGAGATTCATTTCTCGATCTTCTTCAAAAGACTGATATGATTAAGTGCAGTGAGACATAAACAAGCACCTGCAGGTCAAAATTGTAAAGCGGTACAAAGTACCCTTCTAGCAATCCCATCAGAAGCACCAGGTAGACGCCATCCTTGAATTGGTTCTCTAGATCTGTTACCTCCAGATTGATCTTGTTTAAATGTTTGTTACAAAAAGCGAGCAATGAACTTTTGACATGGGCCAGTTTGTCCGGTCCGTAATCGAATAAGGTGTCAAAGGCGTCTCGCTCACCCTACAGTGAACTTCATTACTGCACCAAGGAACGGTGAATATTAGGGAAAAATTGAGAATAAAGTAATGAGACCTTGACGCCCAATTCCGGTTGGGTTGTAGTTAACTGTTCAGTGATGTAATGACTTTTCAACTGGTTATCTTTCTTTTGCACAACAAGAATTTGAGCATTCACGTACTCGGGAAATTTCACAGGAGCACGAAAGTACATGGCAATTGCAACTAGTAGTTGTATAATAGCGACAGCGTCCTGCAAGTACATGGTTCACATTTTTTTTCAATCATACACATGACACTAAATCCATAAGTATCATTCCTAGTAACTTCCAACAACAATTATTCATTAATTACTACTCACTAATCTTAGGTTACCTATTTTCTAATGCAGGAAATTTTGGTTGAATCCTGAGTACTGCTACTGCTATTTGTTTCCTTCTGATGTTAATTATATATAATTCATAAACAGTAATATGCGTAAAATATGAGGAAAATCGATAGTGCCTTATTATGGATTAGGTCAGCATTCCATTTAGCCTTTTCGAACTGCCCCTGAGCAATGATACGATTTACAGTCTCGATCACTTTGTGTAGTTTCTGCCGCTGTCCTTCTTCGCTTTGCGATACCTCAGGCACTTCAATCTAAATGGATATACTAATATAACCAACATAATCGACAGTTTCGAAACCAGTAAAAGATAGTATGAATTTTAATACTATAAGCCTCAATACTACTAATATATTTCAGAAGTATATCAGTTCCAAAGGGGTACCAGTGATAAACGGAACCTTTATATTTGCCAATTTTTCTGTCAGCTTCTGAACTATTTGACCATCATACAAATCTTCTTGTATATGTTTCACCACAATCCTTTGCGGTGCCAATTCAAAGTTCAGCCAGTGAATTAAAAGTTGTATTACTTCGTGCACACGTGGGTCATCACGTGACTCTGCAGTCAGGAATCTTTTTTCTTCGCCTAAAAATTCTCGTCTGCATTCCAGCTAAATTTCATACTATACGACAAATCTATCGTATATTATCTAACGTTTAATAATAATTATTTTAGCAAAACAGTGTAGTCCTTTTTAATATCAAAGATAACGTGTGTTTCACTAAATCTCTAAACAGTTACTAAATAGAGCAAGCTAAGCTGTAACATCTTTACTAAAATACCTTCTTCAAGCATAATATTTTGTGAAATTGCTGAAACTGGAATAATTGCTGAGTCAATAGCTTTTGCTCCCTCTGTTTCAACCTACAAAGATATCTTCTTAATACGATATAAGTTGGATACGAATGAAAGGATTAAAAAACATACAACTATCAATCAATCTATTAACACAGGTATTCAGTAATTTTACTACTCAAGTATATATAATATTCCCGAGATATCATTTTATACAGACAAATCGTACATACAATGTTACAGCACTTTTCATAATCTTAATGATGTCTAAGAATTTGCACATACATAACTTGACTTTCCTTTTCCGGTTTTTCCCTTCCAATAACTTTCATTAGTAACTTTAATTATGATAGTTCGAAGTAAATGACGAGACTTGTCGGTAACAAACTTTCTGAAGACTAATATCTCCTTACTGAATATCAGATCTGTCTTCTTTAGAAGGATATTTTACGAGTGAAAATCTTCGAAAGTTGATACCTTTATCCGATCTCATTTCTTCTTATTATTTCGCATTCACAAATTGATGTTTTCAAGAAGAAATGAGATCGGCACCTACTTCTTTTTATGCATATGTTTAAGAATAGTTTTTAGCTCATAACAATTCAAGAAATCAAATTACTGCAAACTATCACTGACATTTTATTATCAAATAATATTTGATAAAACGAAGAACCCAATCTCAAGATTAGTCAACAGAGATGCATGAAAACAAGAACTTACTTCGATAGCTTCATTTTCAGCTTCTTGATCAAGTTGTTGCGATTTTTTTTTCCTTCCAAGAGTCCCCAATTTTTCAAAAAATGATTCGTCCTATATACGAATTTAGTCTTGTCAAGTAAATGAAGACATAACAAACACTATGAAAAGATTTGAACAAAAATTTGTTGTACAAATGCCACATAAGAGTAGAAAAAAATAGAATGATTTGTGGTATATCACAAGAGTACCAATATATATTATATCACAAAATTTTCATTTGATTTGCATCGCATACGACTCAGTTAATATGGATGTAGTATGAGCAAGCATAAACAAATAAAGTGATCTTGTCCTGAAAAATACAAACACATCTTCTATGCACTTGTTAGCAGAAGTAAAATGCTAACCTTCTTCCTGAGCGTCCCTTTTGGTGGGAGAGTAGAATCCAAAGACGACCGAGATGCCATATCCTGAACTGATATCATCCTCGCCAATTAGGTGATATTGACTTTGACAAGAGTCTATAAACCAACAGCAAACAGCCAACAAATGAAAACTGCAGTGGTTAAATGCAACTAACTAGTAGTCAGCTGTCTAGCACTGCTTGGCAGATGGAATAATTTTGTGTACGAGGAAAATACATAGAGCAGGATGAAAACACTGAAGAGTAGTCAGAGCAAAACACGCAGATTAAACTCACTTTCTTACACCTAATTCATTTATTATGAAGCGTATTGGAAGTTATGAGGATGAACTTGCCCCTGAAGAACGCAGTGTGTAAACATCTCTGTATGTACAAATATTTCTATTGAATTTCTGCATGCTCTCTGAACAGAAAAAATCTTCACAATACTTACAAATATTCAATATAATAATAATGCTGAATTGTTGTACAAAACACAACAAATAAATTCGCCTATGCTTACATTAGTACACGATTATACATCATAAAACATCGAAAATTAGTAAGCCATCAGTGAATCTCGAAATGGACACAAATCAAAAAACTTGCGATCGCAATAAACTTAATTTTCTGCAGCAACAATTACCATAACAAAAACTAATACCTTTATAGCAGCAACAACTTTTGGCATTTGACTATTTTAATCAAACTGGTTATCTTTTATCAACTTTTCGATGAAACTGTTTATTATGTTCCCTGACAAATTTTTATCCTTTCTTAACAGTAAGTGATCCCATACAATCCCACACTTTGCAATTGTATAGAGTATTTCATCAAGGCAAAATTAAGATAGTTCAAGAGATACACTGGAAGCCATTCAAAAAACCTTATATCTTCCTGCTGCAGACGTATTTCGTACACCTGTTTGTGCCTGAAAATAATGTGGATTTTAAGCGGCACATGTACAACAACATTCGACATTAAGTGAAATCACAGCATATGACTACTACAAAAATAGTAGGATATCTCTCGAATGATTAACAATAAGTGCAAGATACCATTTGTCGTACTGTATCTTTCATTATTCTTAAAATCTCCTCACGTGCACGGCGTAAAGCAAGCTCAGACCGAGCTTCTAAGAACAGAAAAAGTTTCCTCTCGCCATCTTTAGGTTCTTTATTGCCTGGATAATACGATCCTTTCACTGAAATACCAACATCCGCATACTCTTGCACCTGAGCTAAACTATCCTGAAAATTAATAACATGAATTTTTAAAGAGAAATGCATTCCTCCTATTTCATAAAAAAAAATAAAATAATTCAGACCCAACGTTTATCTTTAATTTGTACTTTTATGAATTTACTCAAAAACTTTTATGTGGAATCCAATTAGAGATAATGTAACATTATAAGAGACTTAAAAAAGTTTACTCTGGAACATATTTTATAACGAATCTGTTGTGGAAAATCATTAATTTCAATTTCTTCCTCGAAGTACTGTAATTCTGCTTCCGTTTCTACTCCTGGTATTAATTCAGATGGAATATAATTCAGACGTTCATTTAACTGTTCAGCTTTCTGTTTTGCTATAGACTTCGCCTAAAACAGCTATAACGAATCACAGATGGCCATTTCGTGTCAGCCTTAGCATCAGAAAATTCATAATTATTGAATAGAGAAATTTAAAATTTTACATTATAAAAGATAACATAAAATTTGAAATTTATAAACAAAAAGATCCTCTTTAAACAACAACTAACCGATAATGCAATCGGTAATGCATCATTACCACGCATTACAGCTTCAGCAGTTAAAGAAGTCGCATCTTTTTCTACCGGTATGGTGACACCTAACTGCTTCGCCTCTGCAATTTTTGCTGCCATTGCTCGAGCCTAAAAAATTGTACATGAGAAAAATCATATCAAAATCAACAAACAACTCCTTGAAAAAAACAAATGGTTTACTTTCTCCAATTTATCACCAGCTATTCCTGAACTGGAGCCAAAGCCTATAATTGAATGTCCTTCCACAATTCTTCTTTTACCCTTGATCATACTGCTGAGCTGCTGTTCAATTTCATCATCATCATCATCATCAACTGCATTCTCCATGCCATGCATTAAACGTGTAACTTTGCGCCTTGTTGCTTCTTTCTCATCTTCTGCCTGAAAAAAAATAATTAAGTTATTGTTATAAACTACATTTCATAACAATCTTTCATGGAAAAAATTACACTTTACACTATTCAGAAAACCATACGAAAGGTACCTGATCATACTTATAACCACTTCCAGAAAATCCGCAACCTCCAATATGAACAGTCTTCCCTTCAGCTGCCATCTGTGCCTTGTAATCTTCCCACATTTTTTTCAACTGCTCTGGCGGTTCCTTTCCAGCTGTTTCAAAGGCGCGACAAACTTCACCCGCCATACGCTCTTGTCCTGTGAATTTATAAGCGAATGAATCAAAATATTTGCAAAAACTTTAATATATTCTTAAAAACCAAGTTAATGATTTTATCATTAAGAATTTACCGCTTGGTAAGATGAAAGTATAAGCATATCCTTTGTTGCCTGCTCTTCCTGTCCTACCTACTCGATGCACATAATCTTCATAATGATTTGGACAATCATAATTGACGACAAGAATCAGTTTTTTGACATCTAGTCCTCGGGCAGCGACTGATGTTGCTACCTGTAAACAATGAGTTCAAAAACTGCAAACCAAACTAGGCTTAAAAATTTATAACGTTTATAAACATTTCGTCCTAAAATAAGCTACAAAAAAAACACTAATAACTGACCAGTAATTTAATCTTGCTAGCTTTATAGTCGATAACAGTTGAATCACGATCAAACTGATCAATGCCGCCATGCAGTGGAGCACAGTTGTAGCCGCTACGCATTAGTTGAGCAACCAAGTCGTCTGCTTTTTCTTGTTTGTCAACAAATACCAACACATTGCCACTTTCCCAGTAAACACCAAGTAATTCTAATAACTTTAGCATCTTCTGATGCTCTTCCAAAATGACAACGTTTTGATTAACGTCATCACAAACGACACTCTTACCTCCCACCTGCATAAGATTTCGGTACGTAAAATTGAAAATAAAATCTGGGACGAGAGGGTTTAAAAAATGCGGAGATTTGGGTGCTGAAATAAGGTGAATAAATACCATGACTTCAATTGGTCTGTCCAGAATCTTTCTAGCAAGTGCTTCCATTTGCCGTGGAAAGGTTGCAGAGAACAAAATAGTTTGTCTATCTGGCCTTATATTGTTGACAATTTTCATCACCTGCGGTTCAAATCCCATATCGAACATCCTGTCTGCTTCGTCCAATACAAGATACGTCACACGTCGCAAGTTTGTAACTTTTCCTTGAATTTCAAAAATTGAAAAAATTAATTAAAGCGTATTGTGAAAAAACATATGATCATAAAGGCATTATGCATTGAAAGGAAACGCTGAAGAATATAGATTAAAAAGCAACAATGTAAATTGATGATAACAATGGTAGTTTACTTTATAAAAAATAGCTGCTTATGATAAATCTGAACCTTTATTTGCAGCAAGCATGTCCGTAAGACGTCCAACAGTACAAACAATAACCTCCGCTCCTCGTTTTAAATCTCCAATTTGATCAGATATTCCAACTCCACCATAAACACATGCAACACGAATATCAAACTGTTTGGCGAACTTATTTGCTTCTTTCCACGTTTGCATCGCAAGTTCTCTAGTCGGAGACATTATCACAGCTAAAAGCCTACATCAAATGTTTTAAATGTTTAATACTGTTATTCTGCTGTTCAGTCCTTAATATTTCAAAAAATAATAGAACGTGCCAATTGGGCCATCCATCTCCTCCAGCTCCGGTTGATCTAGTATATGCCTAAACATAGGCAACAAGAATGCAAGTGTTTTACCACTACCAGTTTTAGCAATACCAATCACATCTCGACCACACATTATTGCTGGAATTGCTTGCGACTGAATGGGTGTGGGCTTTGTATATTTGAGCCTGAATAGTAAATTTTCCCGAGATTAGTTGTTCTGTGTATATCTAACGTAAGAGGAAAAAATAAAATTAATGATGCTCTAACTTTTTCAACGTGTTCAGAATTTTCCATTCAACTCCACACTGTGCCCATGATCGGACAGGTTTGGGGCAATTTTTACCCCTCACACGAATATCAAGATCCTCTCGATAATCATCCACTTCTTGTTTAGTCATCTTTGCCAGTTCAGCAGTTTCCACGTAAAAGTTTTTACGGAAGGGCCGGTAATAAACCTAATAAGAAAATGTGGAAAAGATTTCAAGTATTTTTATCATTGGTTTTAAAAACTTAAAAGTTAGTGAAATTTGAGAATTATTTCTATATTTTCAAATAAATCGCTAATAAAATTGTGTAATGAACTTGCTTTCGAGTGATCTGTTTGTGGTAACTGTCTCCCTTTTGCAATTAATGATGAAGCCGCTTTTTCAATATCAAAATCATCAAGAAGAGGCTGAAGTTCGAGAAAATATACACAAAAAAGTGATATACTGATCATCCGGTGTCTAATATGAAACTTTTAGAGAAGTTATTTTTAACTAATTATGCTAAGTTTATTCTATTTCAAATTTTATGAACCAAAATTTCTCTGCAAATGGTTAGAAATGAAGTTCGCTAGGAAAAAGATTGATGAGATGAAGTGCAGAAAAAACCTCAATTTCATCGTCATCTTCAACGATTTCGCCCTTCTTTGATTCTGAATATGTATTTGATTTGATGACAACTATGCGAGCTTTTCCTTCACTCCCCTGAATCTGTTCCAGGAATTAATGACTTTTCAGTTTTCGTAAATACTAATTACAATCGAATTTTTGCCTCACCTGATTTGTCCCATATTTAGCAAATCGGACTTCTTTATTGACTTCAGACATAAATGCATCAAGAGGATCGATCTCATCGTCATCTGTTGTTTCTTTTCTAAATTTATGGACTAAAAACTCCTGTTTTGAAAATCATGAACAAAGAAGCAAACAAATTCCGTCATTTGTGGCCAAACCTTAATATTCTTAGTTATTTTAGAGTTAGAACTTTATGATATCAAAAATAAAAGTTCCATAGTGAAATATGGATTACGATGTGATAAGATAAAATAAACGTAATCAATCAACGCATCATTTTAGTCATACACTAATAAGTCATGCTGGAATATGACTTAAGATAGTTAAAGAAAATTAAATGCATTACTTTTCCATTTGTTGCATATCTTCCTCTTGTTGAGTGCTGTCTTCATCTTCTTCTTCATTGTCCAGCGTCCATTTTTTTTCTTGTTTTGTCTCTGTATCTGTTGTGGTCTCCTCATTTTCCATCTTCTCTCCTTTCTTACGTTGTTGACGCCACTTCTCGATTCTTTCTCGACGCTTTTGCATTTCGATTTCAAGTTTCCTTTCAACCTCACTCTATGAATACAAACAATCAGTACATTTCAAAAATCTTAATTATATCTTAAAATCCAATAATACAAAATATCAAGCGATTACAATCATAAACCTTGTCAGTCATAGCAACTATTTCGCCAAGATCCAAGCCTTTTTCTTTGTTTTTTTCATTTCTGCTGTCACGGTCTTGAGATCGACTTCGATTCTTTTTCTTTGATGATTTTTTGGAATCTTTCGCCTGTTTGTCATGAGGTGAACGACTACGGTCACGACGGCTTTTTTCTTTATCACTTGAATGATGCTTTTTGGATTTAGTTTTACTCTTGGTACCATGAGAACTACGCTTATCGTGGGAACCCATAGCCTACAATATGGTATTATACAAAAAACAAATTATAAGAAGTGTTTTTTCGAGATATTAATCCCATTATGAATTCGTAAAATTAATGAAACCGAACAGAATTCAATACTACTTCATTATGGCACAAAAGTACTTTTCAGCTGGCGTATAAATAAAATTGTAGCTACCACTATAATCTTAATATGATGATAAAAACTGATCAATTATTCCCATACATAAGTCATTAAAAAAAATTTACTAAAAGTTTTTACAACAATCAAAAGCAGAAAATTCGTCCCATTTAATCTAGGCAATTGAAAAAAGTTATATCCTGAATGTCATATGAATCTATGTTAACAAATTTAGTATAATCCTAGTAGTTCTGCTACAAAACTAACACCACATATATAAATTAATGTAAAAGACTCATTGCGTAAAATTCTACTTACACTTTCAAAGACAAGATTTCAAAACAATTAATGGTCGCGGTCGAGATAGACGCATACTCACATTTTAAAGAGACTTAATATTGATGTAAGTGCCGAAATGCAAATTTTTTGAATCATATTTACGTTTCTTCTCACATTACTCATCATTGTTATAAAATATGTTAATTTGCTAATGATAGTGATAAGTTTTAGTTATAATAAGCTGAAGCATTATACAGAAATGAGTAATGGGTCAGTGGCTGACAATCTTCAAGTGATTTTGCAAAGGATTTCAAATGCAGCCAAGAAAGCAGAGCAAACCCCTTACTGGCGTGGACAGAAGCCTTCATTGTTGGCTGTTTCTAAGATGATATCTCCGGCACTTATACAGTAGGATTTTTTTGATGCATATGTCCAGATATTTCACTTTTTGTTTTATTTTCTGATCATCATATAGTTGTGTATCATTTTATTCATAAAGCTTTACGATTCTGCAAATGAATCGCTTTCAGTTTTTGCATAAAATTTGCACTTTTCTAAATGCTGTGAGAATTTCTCTTATTCATTTCTAAAAGGACTTCAGCATTTCGGTATCTGTTTTTCGAATAATATTTTAGTTTTTCAATTTTTTGTTGGTAATAAACGTTTTCAAGGTGCTGTTACGATGCAGGACAAAGAAAATTTGGTGAAAACTATATTCAGGAGCTTGCCGACAAGGCAAATTTGTTGAAGTCCACTTGTCCTAATATATGCTGGCATTTTATCGGTACGATTCAATCAAACAAAGTAATGTTATCGTGTTTTAGCATCTTTTAGGTTTCTGACAGTTACTGCTTTATAAATTGACTGATTTTGAAAATTAAAATAAGCAGTATACGTTTCAAGGAAAACTTCGTTATTTTTACTAAATAAATTTTTAAATTTATTTTGAGAGCACTGTGTAAATCCTAAACGATAGAACTCTTGAATAATATATTTTGCGCGGACTCTTCATTGTATTCAATTGTGAAGATTGCTAAGTTGGTCGAAGTTGATAGCTTGAGTTGTGTGGAAACGATCAGTTCTAGAAAACATTGTACTATGTTAGAACAAGCTGTCGCAAAAACTGGTCGGAAATTGAGTGTTTTAGTACAAGTCAACACAAGTAATGAAGAACAAAAAGGAGGAACATCGCCAGAAATGGTTTGTCTAGCAGAATTCATGCATCTCAATTATTTTTAGCAATTCATTTTGAAACTTTTGGCTTAACAAAACCAAATTATTTTTAAATTTAAAATATTTTATCATTCCATTCTTCTTAAAAAGTTGACCTTAAATGATTACAGTTTTTTTTCATTATTTGCTTTTAGAAAGAGTAGTGAGTTTTTTCAAGTTCTTCACAATCAGTATTCACCGTGAATTTCAGGCAATGGACTTAGCAGATTTTATTCGAGTAAATTGTCCGTCACTTAAGTTTTCTGGCTTTATGACTATAGGTTCTTTGTCAAACAGTACATCAGACACCTATAACAAAGATTTTACAAAACTTTTCGATACCCGAAAAATGCAAGTACCTTTCAAATCCTTATTCTGCATTCTAAAATATCTTTATTCATTTCTTTGAGTTAAAATTTTTCAGAGTTCAAGAATTTTCATGTTGTTTGACTTAATATGTTATAGGTTTTGCCAACGTATAAGTGAAAATGAAGAATCTTTTGAACTTTCGATGGGGATGTCACAAGATTATGAAACAGCTATAATGCAGGGTAGTACATGTGTCCGTATTGGAAGCGCTCTTTTCGGGCCGCGTTTAGTAAAAGAACATTAATTATCTTAAAAATCTTACTTTCATGACCTCAGTCTTTTTTTTAATTTTTTTCTTATTAGCTTATAAATACGTATTAGTTTTTCTCCAACCTATAACCTTGTGCAATTTTTAAGCAGTCTATTTGTGCGTTTGACTGCGTTCAATGTTCATTGTGTCAGGTTTGAATGCGATTTCACAATGAATCAGATTTCATTGTACTTTCATAATTAATTACTTGTGGCTTCTTGTTTTTGATTTTTTACTTCAATTAATTACATGAAATTTATTTTTAAAGTTTTATTTTGTTTTTGTTCGCTTGGTAAAACCACAAGCTTTTTAGCAGTTGTGAAATAGCGAAAAATGCAGAAAATTAGATCTGTTACGTATTGTCGGGTAATGAAGGAATTATTGAAAACAAAGAGCTGATTTAAATTGCTTATACGTGGTATAAGGAGCTAAGAAAATTTTAGTCACAGAAAAAAAGAAATTTCTGGTCACAACATTTTGAAATGTTCTATAAGTCACTACTGTGTAGGTAATCGAATATTAATCTCTTGCTTTAAATTTTGGCTATGCATGTATGTGTGTAATGAACTTGGCACATTTATGAATATTAGTAGGAGAATTATTCAGGTGTCTATGAACAATGTTTATGCACAATCCTTGTTCGTGGAATGTTTGTGATTTCTAGGTACATAAACGTCATTTTCAATCTATGCTTATACCATATTAATGTAATTAGCATTTAATCAAAGATATTAGAGATGCAAAAGTTTTTATAGACAGGACATCAGAGATTTGTTTTCTGTATTTTTTGGCAAACAAGATTGGGTTGTGAGCAATGAGCGACATTCGGGAGAACGAGCTGCTTCTGGAAAAATATATCAGGATATTTTTTGTTGTCTCCTTATATTGGTTAGTTATTATAGTCCAGCAATATTGGTTAGTTATTATTTGGAAGTATCATTCTTACCTAGATTGTTGTCCCTATTTTAATGTTGCTGACGCCACCTTGTTCCAGGATTTGTTCAATAGGTCTTGTATTCCTAAACAAGTATTTGCTTAGCGATGATATATTGAAGGTATATGCATATGATCTTATGATCGCAAAAATAATTCATAAAAAACTAAATTGGGTGTAAACGTTAGGCATTCGTATTTGAGCTAAACAGTGAGCAATATTTTGTGGGAATCTGAAATATGCAAATTATAAAATGCACTTGCAGCTTGATGCACCACTTTTCGTCACCTGGTACCAATGCTTTGTGACAGTAGTATTGTGTTATGCGTGTTACAGTGTTTCTTTATTGTTTCCTTCGTGGTTCAGTTTTCCATGTGTATCTTTTAATCACCGTATTTCGAGAGAGGTAAATTGATTATTCAGCAAGTTTACTTCCTGAATTTCACATTCTAATTGATTACTATAATTCGCTATATATTTCTCAGTTGAAGCGGTTCTTTATTTCTGCACATTAACAAAGTATATTTAGGTATTGCCTTTGTCGTTTGTATTTGTTGGAATGATAACCACAAACAATTTATGCTTAAAATATGTTGGTGTTTCATTCTATTACATCGGGAGATCGCTGACTACTGTATTCAATATGGTAAGTGAAATCTAATCCTTATTGAATGTTGATGGATATTGAACAGTAGTGGTTTCGATCAGTGCGCTGCTTGATTTAATACAGGGAGCGTATTCAAGAGGGCGAATTGCCAAGTGATAACCTTTACATTAGTAAATGGTTTGCAGAGGCATTTGAGTTAGGAGTTTATACTAAAATATCAATCATTATGATTAAATCACTGTATTTAGGTACTTTCATATTTTTTGCTGGGACAGATTACTTCATTTAAATCTATTCTATGTTGTGCTCTAATTATTAGTGGATTTTTACTTGGAGTGAATCAGGAAGATGCTGCAGGTATGTTTATTTCAAGTTCCAAAAATTTGTTAGCACATTTTCTATATTTAAAGTGAATTAAATTCATTTGAGATAAATGTTACTTGATGACATGGTGCAGTTGAATTTGAACTTTATAGGTACCTTATCCACTACTGGTGTTATTTATGGTGTAGCATCATCTGTCTGTGTTGCTTTGAATGCCATTTATACCCAGCGAGTCCTTCCAACAGTTGGTGGAAGTATTGCACAGCTTACTTTGTAAGATAAATATATTGTAGGAAGTGATAAAATGTCAAATAAAATAGAATTTCCCACCATCAACTTGTGATTTTGCAGTGTGGTAAAGCATTAGTAATATCATAGCTTTCAATTTACTTGTGACATTTATTGAATTTCGTTTCGAAATTAATGACAGAGATCGTTTCTTCATTTTCGTTTCGAAATTAATGACAGAGATCGTTTCTTCATTTCAAGACACAACAATATGAATGCACTGATATTATTTTTACCGATTGTCTTATTTTCTGGCGACATTAATGAAATACTTTATTTTCCTCATTTACTGTCCTCATGGTTCTGGATTTTGATGTCTCTTTCTGGCGTTTTTGGTTTTTTGATTAGCTATGTGACCGGATGGCAAATTCAAGTAAGTGCATACTTCATTTCATAGCCTGAAAATTAGGAACAACGTATATCTTTTACTTGCTGATTTTTACTTTGACGATTTAGGTTACATCACCTTTAACCCATAACATCAGTGGTACGGCTAAAGCAGCATCACAAACAGTTATTGCAGTTGTTTGGTGGCAAGAAGTGAAACCACTATTATGGTGGATAAGTAATACAATTGTTTTATTTGGGTCTACTCTGTATACAATAGTTAAAGGAAAGGTTAATTTTTTCAATAGCTTTTTAGCGTTTCATAGTTATCGAGAAAAATACCGTACGTGCAGACTGTCTTCAGTTTAATATAACATGTCTCCATCATATGTATTAATCGCCTTTCATATGTCAATATTTCCTTTTGAATTTTAGATATATTGACAGTTTTGCTATATTTATTATATTTATTTCATCCTAAAATTTACAGGAAATGGCTAATAAACATGAGACTAATAAATCTAAAGCGAATGATACTCTCGAGCGACAATCCATGCTTCTTGATTTGAGCGACGAAACTCACCTGTAGTTAAGAACTGTATTATTTTCCTTTACGATATCACTAAAATTTTAAACTAATTTCTGGTACGAACATATATATAATTGAATTATTTCGTTTGCTACATTTCTAAATTTACACTGGTATCTACCATTCCTTACCAGTCTTTCCATCAAATGTCTTACTCTTCATTACGACCGTCAAGAAAAACAATTTTGATTCCTAGTATTTTCGAAATAGCTGTGTATTAATTGCTACTTCTGTCAGTTATTTCGTTATAAGCTGTCTGGATTAGACTTATATTATATTATGCATTGGACAGTTTTGCTAAAGGATTATGCATGATGTAAATTATTCCTTGTCTTTCTGAAATAAACCTATCCATTGTTTTTGGTAATTTGAATCATAAATGCAACTAGCAATTTTTATTTTCATAATCATAAAAATTGAGGTAAATAAATACGATCCAAATCTTATAGGAAATCAGCTTTGTAGAACTAAGTTGCAAATATTCTTGAGGATCCTTTGTCATGTTTAGTTTTGAGTACATCAACATCATTTTTAGAAAGATCTTTATTTTCTAGCAAAATCGAAAATGACATTTCAACAGCAAAATGAATTAACACTTTATTAATTAAATCATCATGAAATGTGTGCACCTAGATATATTTACATATTTAAAGCGAAATAAAGTTAAAAAGGAAAATAAGCAATGTACTTACAATTATTTACAGTGATAGATATTAGTTATTACACGAAAATAGAATACAATCATTAAAACGATCAAGTTCACTATTCGAAATCGCTATATTTTTTCCATCGCTGAGAATTCTGCTGGGCGTGAGAAACTATTATAATTCGATGCAATATAGAACCAAATGACTAAGCTTCCATGTAGCTCATCATACGGTCCCGATCCTTGTAAGGAACTGCCATATGTGAGCAGCCTTTTCTCTCTAGTCTTTCGTGGTGGTCGAACACAATTACATGGCAAGTTTATTTTGCAGCTGAAATATCTAATGTAGCTAGAGTACTGCAATAAGAATTGTTTCAACTCCAACTAATCAAGATAGATTAAATTTGGTTTCGAACTCAACCAATCGAAGCAACTATTCAAAATAAAGCAAGAATTATATTTAGTGCCGACTGTGTCATTCGTGCACAACAGTCTGTAACCTCAAATAGCTCTAATCAGCTAACCCTTCGCTATATTAATTCTAACAATCAAGAAAAGATTAACCTTTAATTTTGCCGACACGAATTATATTAGGAATCGTTAGTTGACGTAGGGGCAGTCCCAAACCATTATTACTGCAATTACATACATTACATATCGAATACAAAAATATAGGGGAATCATTTTCATGATTATGAATATTTTATAGCCTCTGAATTCTTGCAAGATCTTCTGCATATAAACTACTTCTCTTTTATATTTATTCATGATTCTTATGCATATCTTCTACTACTTTTTCAAAAGACTCTAGGAATTTTTATGTGGTTTCAAGTAGCTACTTCAGACTGCATGGAAATAAAACATACATTTTTGTCTTTAAAGTCCACTAACTCTAGGAACTGCCAAAAGTTCGTATTGTGCAAGACTGCCTCGACATCTCTTTTTTATAATAGCCCCACGCTTTCTCATAAAATTCAAAACTAGTGTGGGGCAAAAATAAAACACAGCAGCTTAATATTTGATACATGCCTGAGCTAAGATGCTCAGTCATGATCCAGTAATGCATAAACGATCTGAAAGAGGCATGGTGAACAAGAAATATCAATCTGACATTTATCAGAAAAAAGATCAATATATTTTTAAAAAAACTCACAAGTCATGTTCCCTCATCGTCAGCATCAGCTTTCCAATAAAGCGAAATAAAACCATTAAAAATAAATCCAATTTTGATAAAGGAACCACAATATATTTTATAAAAATCGTTTTATTGCTCGCAGGATCTGAAAAAGCAATAATAAAATCGTCACAACCTTGCCAAATTCCAAAAGCGCTGTAAGTCTTAAATATTATTGAAGTTCCAAAATTAATACTTGATATACAGTTTTAGTCATCCAAAATATTATTTTTTTGTTGATGGCCTTACAAATTTGATGAAACTACGCAATTATTGAATGCATTTCAGAACAACAGATATTTAAATTTTATTCCACAAAATTAAAATTTACCGGACTACTCATGAATTTTAGGCTCTCGCTAAAATTTGAGCCAATTAGGTATGTAGCAGTCCGAAATCCTGATGATGATCCCTGATCCCTGTTAACAATCAGGGAAATTCCAGAATGCTGTGGTTCATTAATGATGACCTGAAATACAGATTCTAAAAATCAGTTAATAACTTGAATGAGTTTGTTTTGATATACACGTAGTCGTACGAATATTATCTATATTAAAATTACAAGTCATCTTCATCTCATGACATTCATTAAAAAAATAATCACGATGTTCCAAGCATCCTATTTCCGTTGCTCAAGCTAACAAAAATATCAATCCTTGATACTTGCTCCAACGTAATTAATTCAATCGTGAAATGTTAGGTCAACTCAACGGAATAAAAAATATTTGATAAACATGGGACTTGAAATGGTAATTGAAAAGCTAAATACTGCAGTTTATATCAATCCTCAGGTGGTCATATGGGAAATTTTGATGTATTATTTACTGCCCAACAAATTATTACTCCTCTCCAACCATCCAACCAACCAACCAATCATCTAAGCAACCAGTCAACTAAGCAATCAACCAATCAACCAACCAACCAACCATCCAACCAACCAACCATCCAACCATCCAACCATCCAACCATCCAACCATCCAACCGACCAACCAACCGACCAGTCACTACCAGTTAAACAACAACTGACTGTTGCATGGAATAGAATGCTCCCTTTGACGTGTTCTTGCGCAATAATACTTGTAATTTAATTCTCTGATATTCTGTCCGTTTTATCTAATCTCTCTTAACTTACTCACTCCCTCACTCAATTACTTCTGGCAGCTAAAATATTTGAATATCGATTCATTCATGATTGATTTAGTTGTTGTCTAGACATGAACGTAATACAGTACCCCAGACATTTTTATTTTTGGTTATAATACCACTACACAGATATAGCTTTATTTCAAAAGGTCAGTGAGAGAAGTTTTTTTAGTATGACATCTTTGACAGATTTTTGATGTTTTTATTCGTTAAGGCATTTGCTAAATTTCAAATTTGGATGGATTACTGCTTGGTTTGCTTACTTTTAAGTAATATTTTATGAAAAATTCAGTACTTTGAATTCATGTTTTCTAAATTCGTACAAATTCATCCACGGTATGAAATGCTGAAGATTCTGAAATCAAAGAGCTCTTTAAAGTCAACTGTTAAAATACAAAAGATGGAATGCGAACTATGCACGTACGTCATAAATGTTACCGGACAAGCATAGAAGCAGTTGTTTATTCTTGTGCATCGTATATTGTTGATGAAACAAAGGGATTTTTTTTCTCTGATTAATTTCTAACAATTCGAAAAATATTAGTTATATTTTGTGGTTGCTTAAAAAATTGCAAGTTCGTTTTGAACATTGTAGTATTCTCAACATCCGATTTACATTGCTTTTACATGGCTGTTTTACTCATGACCTGAAGTCATACTTTCTGAGACATATAACACTTTTAGTTAATCAAACTTTTGTGTTTTCCGAATAACTTGCATTGATCCGAGATAACTTGGTCGGAAGAATTTCAGTATGAAATTAGGACAAACTTGTGGATGTAGTCTGTTAGACATTATATTTTCAGCTGCGAATTGGAATGCTTGAAGAATTTGATCACAAGTAGTTGATGACTGGATTCGTGATCACCAGTTTGCAATCACGTCTGACCACTCATTTATACACACACTTGTTTACATATATCCCCTACTAGTATATGTTCCTGAAACAGTATAAGGTTTTCTTGTTTGATTGACAGATATCGTAGCAGATGAGAGGAAATTTTGAAATTCTATGAATGTACAATTTAAAAATTTACTATATAATGATCTTTTTGAAAAAAATATTTTTTGTCAACAAAAGATATCTAGCAATAATATTTTTTGCTATTATTAGTTTTACAAGTTATTGATGAATGAGGAAACAACTTCTGACGGCAGGTTTTTTCGCCGAGACGAGATATTTGTTATCAGACATGAATAATCAGCTACTTGATTGTACTTCTTGGAGGTATCCTGTTTCTTAATCTAGGTTATTACAAAATTTTTGCAATCAATACGTTATATACAAAAATCCTTACAAGTATATATGTATATGTAAAAATTTTTGAATTCTTGAATTTTAATGAAACAAAGTGTATTGAAAAGTCAAATATTGTTATCAGAATACTAAATGTTGTTAATATTTTTTCGTTCATTTCAAAAGTATTTGACTTATTTCGAATTATGGAATAAATTTATTAAAGATAAAATTATAGTACTTTGTCTCTAATGTATGAACCTTATTTATTTCGAACTCCAATACACTTTTATTAATGCCAATGATAATGAGACTGATCATCATTAGTTCTGTTAATATATCATCACTTTTATTCAAATGCTTAGATTTGGCATATGATGTCACCAATCTACTATGCATCGAATCAGTTTCATATCGGTATCAGATGCCTGTTTAGTAACATATAGAACAGTTTGTATAGTACTTCATTACTAGCATTTTAGCATTTTTATGACAATAATTTACAAGGATAATTTTTGACAATCCATCAAGAATACTCACTGTTTGCAATGCTCCGCATTTTAAACCTTTAAATAACGAGGCATTTAAAATTAACTCTTGACAGTTCAAGTAGTGTTCTAATGTGATTCGAAAAAATTCAAAACTTACGATTATGAAGCAGATTGTTAAGTATAATCGCCTATACGTATTACTATGAAGTTCAACAAGTAATAAATCCCCGCATAATAATATATTCCACTTGGTTCTAACTTATCAGTCTGAATACTTATGCAATTAATGAGGACACCATGGTAACCCTTTGACTATTTTTTTCCTTAGATACTATAAATTAATGATAATAATAGAAGCAATATTCTTGATTGTTGATTGAATTGAAATAAACTAATTATTTCACAAAATTGAATGAAATAATACAAATAATAATTTTCCCTCTCGACCACAATGATGTGTTCAGTAGCGCAGAATATTTTTGCTAAAAAAATCTGTAGCAACTAATCATTTCAAAGTTTCATTAAGTTGTCATCAGTGAAGTTAGCTATAGAAAAATGATTTATTTACATTCGATTAACTTAAAATATTTGCAAGCGCAGATTCATACAAATAAAACAATCTTTTTTGCGTGATTAACGACTAAAGTCATGAAATAATTTTGATTAATTATTGGAGGAAATTTGAGATTTGCTATTTTCTAAAAACAATGTAAAATATGTATTGATCTTAGAGTGCCTTTTATTTTTTTTATTAGCAAAAAATTTGCATAAATCAGTTCATATCAAATTTAGTAAATATGCAAATTAAGATATGCAAAATGGAAAAAAAGGTAGAAAAGGAGTGTTTACATAAAGCTCATCATTTGAAAGTTATTTTGTATCGACAGTTGCATCGTTTCTGAAGCAGCAAAATTTCAAGTGCTGAATTTAAGGGGAAATTATCTCGTGTTTTTTTACAACGGCTTTTGTTAAATTTCAACTTTGGGAGAATTCATTTTTGCCAGCCATCAAGTGAAAGTTTGATACGTTTTTTTTTTAATTTGACTTTTTCTTTTTTTCTTGTGTGATACTGTATGAGACGATTGTCTGTTATCTATCTGATGCATCCTTAACATATCACCTAAACATTTGCAAATGTTACGTTGTTTGAATTATTCAAGTTTTTTGCAAACTTATTAGCTATACCTTATTAAGCATTTCAAATGATTATTGGTATTGATAATTATTTGCTAGATTTTATTCTACAAGTAGCGTATATTGTTATTAAGATGTCACTTGAGCAAGAAGTTGAAAAACCAACAATAAACTCCTTCGATGATGTCTTACCAGTACTTTCTCAAACACTACATGATGTATCACCAACAACTGAAAGATGCATCAGTGCATTAGAAAATAGTACTGGTATTAAGCGTGAACACGTTAGTTTCTAAATTTGCATAATCTTAAAATCTTGTCATCATTTATTTTTCACACCTTATTTTGTCTCAAACAATTTCATTTTTCAGTGAAATTTTAGTATGCGATTATTACGCATATATAAATATTTTGAATATGATTAACGAGCAACATTCTAAAGATTTAACATTCTTGTTTTTCTTTTCACATACATATTTGAATACTCTACTGAGCAAAGTTACCGTTCTTAGTTTGCTTGTGGTATAGCAGCCATAGCAGCAGCATATTTGATGATTGGTGTAGAAGCTGGTTTTGTGTGCAATCTCATCTGTTTCAGCTACCCTGCTTATAAAAGTTTCCAAGTACGTATTACAGACTTCATCAAAAATTACATTACGTATATTACGATGCTTGTGAATTGACCATATCGAATTATTCTTTCTAATTACTTTTTCTTCAAACAAAGCATTTCAAATTTTGTAAATTAAGTTATGCACTATTGATAAAATTGGGATCTTAATAATTCAACATGAACACCTTGACTTATTAACTTTTCCCCAATCATTTTGTTCATACAGTTTGATATAAATTCGGCGTTGAGTACTAATTATATAATTAAAAAGATTAAGTAACCGTTTTCATGAAACGTTTAAACAATTTCTATAGTTAATGATATCTGCAGAAAGTGGATAGTCAATCAACGGATAATGTCCTTAAATGGCTGTTGTATTGGGTGATATTTGGAACATTTACGGTGCTCGATCGATTTGCTAGCGATATTAACCGACATTTACCAATTTACTGGCTTTTCAAGGTAATATTTCTAAAGTCAAAATTCTGGATGGAAAAAGATTCTCACATTTTTTCATACTTAATTCGGTATATATCCTATACAACATGATTTATGTATTTACTTCATGCTACAAAGATATATGATATTTCCAGACGTTGAATTTTTACGTTTAAAAATTGTAAAAGAAAATATAATCGAGTAGGACTAAATCAGTCTCAAACGTTGCAAGAAATAGTTTTATATAGAAAAAAAAATACTCTTTGCATTTTCACCTTTACCAAACATATTTATTACAATTGTTTACTGCAGTGCATATTTTGCATTTATCTGTTTCTTCCTCAAACTGATGGAGCCAATCGTTTTCGAAACAATGTGCTAGCACCAATTTTCAAAATTCTGAATCGTAAACCACGAGAAATTGTATCACTGTCCGTTTTTCTGTTTGCTATTTCTCAGTAATTTCTGGCAAACAAAATTGTTCTTTTATATTTTGTACAGTAACAAATTTACTTTACTTTAAAGAATTTTCTTATTAAATTACACAAAAATTCATTGCTACTCATATAAATCAAAGCAATAATTGAATTCAGTATCAACTTTTCAATCAAAAGTTTGAAGCTGAACTGCAATATAAATAATAGACTCGTTTTGGACAAGTTTTTAGTTTTGAGTTGCAAACAAAACCAGCAACTGATCCAGCTCTTGCCGCCACTAGAAAAGAATCTACAACACTAATTCAATCAAAAGTGGCCAAAAAAGTGGAAGTGATCCGAAAGGCTCAAATTCCTATATTCTTTATTATTGGTAAGTGTGTAATACAGGCATTATCAGAAGCAAAGAATTCTTCATAATTTTGTGAATCATTTCTAATTTGATAAGCATTAACACTAATTTTATTTCAAATATTGGGAAAAATAAAAAATATAATTAATAAATAAACATTTTGCATTAACATTAAAGAAATCGAAATGTGTCAAATTATAGTTAAAGTATTGTATATTCTGTAATGCAACAGAAATGGAGCAAACAATGAATGCATTGAATATTATATGTACTGAAAAGAATATATTGCTTACTGCAAGCAAAATTATGTTGTTTAATACTTTTTCTAATATAGAAGTTTTATGTACAGGTCCTCCAGGAGCAGGTAAAGGAACACAGTGTGCTAAAATGGTTGAAAAATATGGACTAACACATTTAAGCACAGGCGATCTTTTACGAGCTGAAGTAGCTTCATGTGGATCACGTGCTAATGAACTACGACAAAAAATGGAAAATGGCGAACTCATTTCTATGGTGATTTTTCAGTAATAATTTTGTGATGCTATTTTTTAGTTACTTACAATACATAATCTTTTTTGATATACGTGTCGAGATGGCTGAAGTTTATTGCTTGTAACCTGGTAAGATAAAACAACACAAATTTCTCTGTAATTAGTGCTAATAATGAATTCATGTAAGAATGAATTACAAGAATTTGCTTATCTGCTAGAAATAAATCACATATGAGTATGAATTTTAGAGAATTGTATTAGATCTTCTCAAAGAAGCCATGTCAAGAGCAACAATAAATGGTAGTCGTGGCTTTCTTATTGACGGTTTTCCACGTGATTTGATTCAAGCACAGCAGTTTGAATCAGAAGTAAGTCAATCTAATAACCTGTATTATGAGACTATGGTGAAACAGGTGGACTTGATAGTAAGAAAAAATGAAAAAAATTTATGTATCAAACAAAATTTATTGTATGTGTTTATAGTAAAAAAATTTAAATAAATGAGAATTTCATAAATAAGGAAAGTTTCTTGTTAGATGTGGAAATTATTAAATTTACAGGTTCGGATTCCGGATTTGGTTATTGATTTTGAAGCCAAGGAAAAAGTACTTCTGGATCGTTGCACCAGTCGGCAAAAAAGACAGTTAGGCTGAACACAATTTTATTGTAAAATTGCAAGCAGAAAAATTCGACTTTTTCTGAAAAATAAACAAAAACATTGATAAGTTTCTGTAAATTGTTCTGTTTCGATATTTTAGATAGCAAAAACAAATTTTGTAGGGATCGATTTGATGACAATATTGAGACAATGCGCAAACGTTGGGAAACGTATAAACTTTCTAGCTTGCCGGTAGCCGAATACTATGCTCGGAAAGGAAAGCTCTTACGAGTAATACATAATTTACTTTATTTGTCGTAGAGTAAAAAATTTACTCTTTTAAAGCCAGCAGAACAAAAAATGTACATATCACATCCTTACACTTTCTAAAGTTATGACTTATAAAGTTTTCAGTCATTCCTGTTTGTTTTTATTACTTAAAATAAGAACAACTGCTACAATTATTAATTCAATTATGTAGTGGAAAGTAAAAAAACTCCAACTTATCTTCAATAAAAATAGTACAATTGAAGAATTATAGTGAAGAGTTTTAAGTTTATGTTTGCGTATAATACTGATATGAAAAGGTAATATTCAGTTTCGTGAAAATTGTAATAACTCATTTTCAGATATCATCAGAAGGTGGAGTGGACGAAGTATTTGCGAAAATTGAACCGCAAATGGATACCATTATTACCGAACGTCAACAATAAAACTTGATAATCAAAAATATAAAAATGGTAGATAGTGATGTAATATGATATATTAGAATTATCTCTGGAAATAATATCTACGAATAAATTGATATAATTCACATTAATTTATCGCATTCATTAAAATTAGAGATTTTATATGACAATGTTATTAAAACGTAAACAATCGGTCTAACTGTGTATAATTAGACCGTTTGTTTAGGCCGTGATTTCTGGTTCAAATGTCAAAAAGTATATGTAAAATTTTACATTGTGCAAAGTAATCACTCATTTATACCTTACCTCTTTTTTATATTTATTTTGGATATTATTTTTTATGATTAATATTTTATCCTTTATAATATCAAATATCAGTTTTATAATGAAAAATGATTCAAAATTCAAATTTTTGTTTGCTCGTTTGCGCCATAATTTCTTCTGATTGATGCCGGCCAACCGTATATTACTCAGACATTTGAACAAGAAATCACGCCATTATACTTTAGATAATACAGGTATTTGATAATTTGAAGATTTAAGCCATGAGTCGTATTTTTGATGTTAAAGTAAGTCATTCTTGGGTGTTTTGTTTTTTATATTTGCATAAGAAACTTAGCTATTTATTTTTGTAGCTGAAACTTTTCTCTTCTAAGTTTCTTTTGCTACTAGAAGTGAGCGTCGTTCAGAATAAGTGCTCGTATAATTGTAATTTACTCAAATTGAAACAAACAAATGATTATCAAACGTCGAAAAGCAAATATACTTGAGTTGGAGGATACGTCGAATGCCAGTAGCGATGTAATGGTTGATAAGTGTAAGTCATATATTCATTGCTTTACTAATTTCTTTCAAGGAATTGCAAACTCAGACTCCAAGGGATTAAAATTTTGATGATTATTTGATTTGTTTCTTGGTGATGAAATCTTAGCTCTCTATGAATAATTGCTGATCTCAAAAGATATTTTTTGTTTTATTTTATATTTGTATTTCTTTTCACAATTATGAAAGTTTTGAAAATTTTTATAGTAATTAAAATCATATCTTCTAGATCATATTATTGAAGCACCCAGCTGGGATATTGGAATTGGTTATGATATGCGGAATGACTTTGGAAAAACGATGATTAAAAGATTATTACATTGGGGTCCAGTCACAGCAATTTGTATCACATTGGTTGTACGTCTTTTGCATCCCTTTACAACAGTAACATGGTTTGATGTTTTATGTGAGAAATGTTCACATAACAATAAATCTTAATATTTTTTTAAAGTATTGATCAAAGTAACTTGTAACAAAAGTTCAGTTCGAGATTTTTTTTTAATTTGTTGCTTTTTTTACTCTTGAAATAAATCGAATGTTGTTCTTCAGATCGGCATGACTACAACGTATGTGCATTTGCAGTGGTGGCCTTTAGAAACTATTACCTCATTCATGCATCTAACCCTTTTCTTATCTTTTAATTACTTGACGTTAATCAATTTTAGTCGTTCAGCATTTCTTGGTCCAGGATATGTTCCATACCATTGGCATCCGCCCAGAAAAGTGTCTTCATAAGTTTCCGTTTTTCGCATTTTAAAATATATATATTTATATTTATAACTGTTATGACTTAGTAGTAAATTTTCATCATTTCTAATATTAAAGGAAGATGAGAATCGGCTGCAATACTGTAGAGCATGTGAGGGCTTCAAAGTACCTCGATCGCATCACTGTTCAAAATGTGGCCGGTGTATTTGTAAAATGGACCATCACTGCCGTAAGTGCCTTCAGAAATAAGTACATTTATCGGAAGTTTAATGCGTCATGTGGTGGATGAAAAAATTGCTCAGAATTATTTTCCAGTAAGGAAAAAAATTCATTTCGAAATGCTTTAATTTTCGTTTATATCAACCTATTCATAAATCTGATATATCTGATACCTTTATATCCTTTTAGGCCACATTTGGCCACTGTATGTTAGCTTTGCAAAAGCTTTCTTTATTCACTCTACATTTTCAGCTTGGATTAATAACTGTGTCGGACATCGTAATCATGCACTGTTTGTACGCTTTCTGCTCTCAGCAGCAGTTGGTTGTATTCATGCCGCTATAATTTTGTCGTTCTCCTTGTACCGTTTTTTATTATGGGTAATTTTAATTTTTTGTACGCAGGATAAAAACTACTGTGCTTCTGTTCGATTTTTCGTATATTTTGTCTTTTTACTCACAAAAGTGGAATGTGGTAGTATGTATCTTTATTTTCGCAATCATTGATTTCATTGCTTCAGTATTGGTAGTAACTTTGTTTTCAAACAGGCTCCACAAATATTTGCTTCATCGTGTAAAATTGTGTTTGCTCAGCACTTTTTTGTTTTGCATTTATTTTTGTTTTAGTAGCAGTTTTGTGCTGTATAGGATTATGCGTTCATGGTACTGTTTATTTTTAAGATAATTTATCTTCTTGGTAGTGGTAAATGCTTCTAAAGTCGTACTTTTCGTAAGAATCGATAGCGCTGAATGAAAGGATTATTAAGATATGTTGTATATTCTGTACACGTGGAAAGTTTGCTCATGAGATCATTTGAAAAATTAGTTTTTGCTTTACATACATGAAAGTCTTAGATATATTTAAAAAGTTTGCTGAAAAGGCGAAAATATATCCTTTACAAAAAATAGCATTGATATCAAAAGATTTTTCAAAATATCCCTTTTCTACTTTTACTGCAGATGTACAAGAATTATGATAGCAGCAGTGAACCGACGGTCATATTATCAATATATTCATTCATTCTTGTTATATTTGTCCTTGGCTTAGCAGTGGGTGTAATTATATCAACAGGCTTTCTGCTAGGTGTTCAGATCAGAGGCATAATTCGAAACCGTACCGGTATCGAAGATTATATTGGTAACAGTTGTAGCAAACTTTTGATTTGATGAATTTGGTATTTTATTGCTATTTTTTTGTGTAATCGTTCTGTATTTGTCCTAGTATAATTATAAATGCATAAACTGAAAAAGTTTTTGTATCTATTGAAATACATTATGTTTTGGTTATAATACCCATGCTTTTGCATTACCCGTTAATACTTTACAGTCGATAAAGCTGACGTACGTGAGCGAAAAGCTGCATTTGTTTATCCTTATGATTTGGGTTGGCGTCGAAACATCTCTGATATATTGCTAACATGGAATGGTAAGCCAAAAGGAAATGGCATCTGGTGGCCTGTTATATATCCAACTACGCAATTTACTTTTTCGGTTAGTTTGCTAATCATTCAGAATGTTTCTCGGATTGGAATATTTTCTCCACGTTTTTATGAATACTTTACTGTTTTTTGAGTTCAAAAAGCTGTGGTATTCGATGATGATATATAGAAAGTTTGGAGCTGTATTGTTTTCTCATAATAAATCAGAAAATAATCATGGAATGTTAAAAATCTTTGTTTTTCCATCTAACCACCATCTGTTTTATCATGTCATAAATTGTAATCCTGAAAAATTTTGGGAGATGCCCATTCTAGGAAGAGCAGTTGTTACAAAAGAAGTGTAAACGAGAAAATGGTCATGAAATTGAAATTACACAAAATTTTCCCGGTGGTTATTGTTCGTCGTTCAAGCTTGGCATATATATTTGGTTTAACCAGCCTTGGTCTGATGAACCAAGACAACCGGTTAAAGTAATATGATTGTATTTCTGAGAATTTCTAGAGTAGATTTAGATTAAATTCTGACCATGGCACTTTGTCGGTCTTTTCAAATTTCGCGTGTCAAATTTAGTTCTTACGTGCTCTTTGAACTTGTCATATGTTTAATTTGCAAAACGGTATTTCATAGGTTGGTGAGCACTGGTTGGTGACTCGAATAAGTAAATATTGGCTCTATGGTACTTTACTGAACGAAGATATTATCAAGGAATACTTTGAAGAGATACCGGAACAGAAGAAAGAAAAAATCATTGTGATTAGGGGTTGGTTCCCGCGAGTGTGCACTCGTAAACTGGAATGAAATCTCAAAAGTTCTCTGAATTGTTCGTAGGGTGTGGAAAATTTTAATTTGTGATGACCGTCATAAGTTTTACACTTCACGAAAGTAGTTTACTGCTTTCAGGTAACTGAAGAGCTCATAAATGCTGTTCATAATTTATGAGTTTTATAATGCTGAATCTTTCTTGGCTTTACTCGTTATTCACCGACCCCATGTCTTGTGCTTGTCAACCGTGAACCACCGGCATAAGTATGAGGTGGTGAAGTTTTGCAGATTCAGTTAGTCAGCATCATGAAACTTTCATTGATATGTAACACTTCTCTGGAAGTTTTCCGGAAAATATACCGAGGAAACATGCATAACGGGTGAGATTAGATAAGAATATCGATGGTACAACATTAATTCTCCTGGTCTATCTAGGACTTCCGGGTATATTGAGAGTTTAATGCAAAACTCTAATTTTCACTGTATTCACATCCATTATTGCGGAATTCTCATGCATACAATGTGTATTAATTACGGCATTATACATTCATCCGAGATATACATATTTGAAAAAGTGTCCAAGTCTCAAGTAATGACTCTCATTTTCCAAATTTATATCTATATTATTATCCTTCGGAGCACAGTTCGAATCACCACGATGGAATAATGTAGTCCATGTGTCTCACCATAAAGAATATATGTCATACAAAGTTCTTAAAAATGCAAATGAAAGCATGGGAAATTGATGAATAACAGGTAGTTATTTGGAAAGTTAAAAGTTGTCTTCTAAAGAACACGCAATTGCAAATATATAGCAGTTATCTCGCGAGCATAATCTTAATTTTCCAACGAGATGAAGCACAAAGTACACTTTAGATAAAATGTCAGCACACGATGTATCTTTTGCATGCTGCAAGTACAGTGATATTAGCATAAAGCTTTATAGGATACGTAAGAATTGCATGACATTCAGCAGAATGGTAACCGTACGTTGCGAAGCAGCAAATACATATTTTTCTGACACTCCTAAATATATTTATCGTAAAATGAGCCCCCCACTGGGTCATATGCATGGTAAGATATAAGCTGTGGAACATTCTTTCAAATTACTTTTGAAAAGCGATTAAATGAAAGCATATAAAAACTTGAGAATGTACTGAGAAGCTACTGATGACCTAAAGGGAAGCCAGGAAAATAAACTGATATCAAATCGAACCTACATGGACATGGTATTATACCAGAGTCTTTCAAGATGAGAGTTTTCGGAAAAATCTGAGTTTTTTAGCTTCAGTTCATTACATATGAAACAAACTAAATTCATAAATAAATATGACGGACAGGATACCTCGCAACTTTCTTTTGGTGCTTAAGTTTCAATGAGAAATAAAAGTCAACTACAGAGTATCATAAAACATACTATCATTTCAGCAAATACATGAGGAAGTCTTGACAAGTATGGAAAAAACTTGAAGTAGAAGGACGATAAACTGCAATGTGAAAAGCTGAGTAGGCAACAACAATCAATTACACGATTCCATGAAAGTGCGTCATAATGCACTGAGTGAAATAAAGTTTAGACCAAGAAATTTAAATCAACAAATTAGTAAAAAACACCCTTGTGGTAGACATACTTAATGAAATACATATAGTATATGATTTGCAGATATAATTATGCTATAACTTTTTAGATAAGATTTTCTATTCCGATATTGTTTTTTCAGAAAACCATTTCTGGGTACTTCATCTGATAGACGTATGTCTTCAACCGCTTAATTTAAAACAAAAAGATTAATGTTTACAAAAGCATTGCCATGTAACCAAGCAGTGAAATTCATTTATCGAGCTGACTTTTCTCATCTATGTGTGATACCTCATTTTTTTTAATCGTTCCATCAGGTATCTATAAAAATAAAAGCTGCATACAATTTGGAGTAAAGTATTTCAAAACATGAGCAAAGATGCCTGATTGAAAATGAATGAAATTAGTTGAATTTATGACGTTTCAATTTAAATAATTTGAAAGTTCGTTAGTTTGGGTATTATGATACAATCATACTGTTTATAAGTCGATACATTTGACAATGAAGAATGAAAACTGAAATTTAATACCGAAGTGGAATTTTGCCAAAAATCTTCATTATGGGCAGTTGGATTCTTGGTTGAAGATGACGGATCTTTTTTGATAGCAATAACTAAAGTAACAATATATAAGAACAAACAAATTACTGATTTGTAAAATCTTTTCAATACCTAATCGGAAAACTGACTTCATAAAATCACCGCAAAATTTTGATTAAAAAATAATTCTAAATCGATGACAAGATTTCCAAATAACATAAATTCCAAAACCAGAATTCCTTTTCCGCAATGGATAGGGAAACTTTTTCAAAAAAAGAAAAATCAAATAAAACAACTCGTTTTGTATGCAACGTTAATAGCAAAAAACAATGTCTTTAACTTCTAAAATCGAATATCTAATGACACAAGGAAAATATCAAAACCGAAAACAAAAAATAATGATTTATTTTACCTGCCTCACAATGGTCGTTAGATAATGGAACAGAGTCATTCTTAGATTTTACACTCTCACATCTATTTCGAAATTGCAGTGGTAAATCGGGGTTGTTATTAGCTGAAATATTTAGCAGTTCCCTCAGACATGCATTTTCTGTCGTAAGTCTTGCGATTAGCTGAAGAAAAAAGTATAATAAAAATGGAAGAGAAATATTGATACTGTATGACAGCCCTTGCAAAACATAATACTAGATAACGTAACTTAAAACTCGGAATATGAGCTTGAAAAGAGAATTCTTAGATAAGAGAGAAGAAATCACACAAGCGTTTTTTATCATATTGTAGTATTCATAAATCCACAATATTACTAATGACACTAGAAAACGATGAACATAACTGAAATATAACCTCTTGATCACGACTGAAGATGTTTTCGCCATCGACAAAACATTTATCTAATAACCTTGATAAGTTAGTAATCGTTTCGATAACAACAGTTTCATTGACTTTGTTATCCTATAATGAGGAATACTAATACTGATCAAGAAAGAAAATATATGAAAAATATTCTCCAAATTACTCTTAGAGCAAATCTTACCGTAGATAATGCAGTGACTGGGGCAATAAGTTGTTTCGCAAACTTGGTTACTATATCCCTGTGTTTCTGCATTAATAAATGTAAAGTACTTTCACAATCTTCCAATGCCTGCCGAAGTTCCCTGAAATCAGGTGCTGATTCAACTACATATTGAGGCTAAGAATAATTAGTTGTAATTCTATTCTTGCAAAATGCTGCTTGACCTTATGACTTTCAAAGTCATTATCGCATGCAACGGAAAGTAAGACGACACCAAGAAATTTCGACAGAGAATAAATGATTGTTCATTCGGCCAAAGGAATCCAAGATGTTTTCATGATATATGCAGAAAACTAAGCACCTATTCTCTTGCTGCAATAAAGAAATCTGCCGATTCTCATGCCGCAACCCTGCAACAAGTACCTTACGACCCTGCATCCGCCAGCATTCATTCATGTTTGCAACGTCTTCCTGATACTGAAATGACAAACATTTGCTCCTAAAGTGAAAATTCACGATAGACTTTTATTCCAAGCTACTACTTATTTTATTTCCGTCATAATTCCGCAATCGCAACAAGTATTTTACGACTTTGTATTTTCAACATTTATTAATTTTAATTGAAAGCTACAGGAATCATAAACAGTTTTAGCTCCTTTATTTCTATCATCTTTTACATTCCTAGACCTCGACAATTTTTAGTACCAATAGTATTTTCCACAATGAAATTACGTTAGTCAGTTTACCAAAATGAAAGTATTTTATTTAATTTCTCACATGTCTTCTTCATTCGATGAATTATGAAATTTTTAAGCTCAATCTAAGTTTCAGACTAATCGTTATGCCTTCATACAACCATGTATAATTTGAACACAATATCCTACGCCTCCAACGTAGTTTCGGAAAAAATTCCTCAAACTTCTGTGCTATTTTACGACACAACAAATTCAAGATTAGTAAGGTGTGAGGCGATAACTCTTTAATTTCTTTGCAGTGAACTTTTTACATTCTGTGAATGGAAAAAGCCCCTTACCTCCTTCATGCCAGATATTTTGTGGTTAATAATTTGGCTTTTGGCAAGCGCACTATCAGTAGCACGTTCACGAGTTTGAAGATTAATAACAAGCTGACGCATATCAGCCATCAGCTGGCCAATATTTGCCGAGCTCATTGCTAAAAATAAGTATGTATGCTGTAAACAGATGACCTATACAGTAGAAGTGATTAAAAGCTTTTTCCTAGGCTATAACATGACGTAGATGCAACGAACAAACATGAAGAAGTATGATCTGTAATTTGCACATAAAATGTAGAGGATATCCTTCAAACTTACATGGAAATTTTCTATCTGATCGTATAAATTTCGATGCTACGTCATTTGCTTTTTATGAAATTTTTATATCTGAAATAATTAAAAAATGATATTCCACATACCCTTCTTCTGATCACCCAAACTGTAATCGAATACATAATTTACGTACAACTCAAGAGGGCAATTTTTGCCCAACTGATGGAGCATTTCTCTCCATTGCATACACAGAACACCTGGTCAAAATGCAAATTTTATATCCCAAGTAAAAGAGACGGAAAACGACTCATCCTACGGCAGGAACCTTTTGCTGTTACTAATTTGAAAATAGTTAAAAAATGTAATTTAAAAAATTCAAGCGCTATCAATTGTTATATCTAATAACAGAATCAGAATAAGAATTAGTCTGGCGAAATGAAACAAAACTAAGGTAGATATAAAGTACTTAATTCCTGAACTTTCTATTCCTCTTCGAATACCACACACTACTTTGTAATCAGTTAGAAAGAAGAAAAGGTAATACCAATAAATAAACCAATTAAGATCCGAAAATTGAGTGAAACATACAAGCTGGGATAAATGACGGACTATATTTATCCAAAGTTCGCAAATATCCTCGATTAATTAATAAATAAACAAATTACATACTACGAATTTGCTGATGAAAGAAATAAATTTAACGTAAAATTGACCTTCTCAACTTTTAATACAAGTCTAGAAATGAAATTTTATTTCAAGCTTTAAATTCCTTTGATGTAGAAGCATGACTGATATTCATATCTTTAACATTACGTAAGCTGATTGTCCACGACCTCGTTTCTGGCATCCGTCGACGGATATCTAATGGCAGTTCAACCAAACCCTTTCTTTCCTAAAACCAAGTAATGAGAAAACACAAAATAATTGGGTTAGAAGATTAAATAAAAAAGCTTACAGTTTGGTAAGTTTCTATTAATGCGATTATCGTTCTAGTGGTTGCAATTGCTGTGGCATTGCAAGTATGAGCAAACTTCTCTACACCTTTCGAGTCGTAGTATTTAATGCCTTAAGAATATGTAAAGTATTAAGTAACTACAGCCTATAATTACCAAATCAGAAAGTCCAGTTCTAGTTACAAAACAAACATGTTGAAAATATTCTCCAATAAAAATCCTAAATGACAATAATGACAAACCTAATCGTCTTGCTTGGAAATCGGTGCAGTTAGAAGCACTTGAAACTTCACCGAAAAATTTTCTTCCTGGCATCCAAGATTCGATGTCAAACTTACGAGCAGCTGATGCACCTAACTCTTGTGATGGCATATCCAAAAGTCTGAACAGGAAATTCTGACCAATTAAACGGTTCTGAATGTAAATCATAAAAAATACAAAAATAATTCACACTTACCTACAATGTAACCCTAGAGAAGAGAAAATGGAAGTCTGCACTTCAACCAATTCATCAAGCTGTGAATCACTGTCATTCTCTTCACAGATCACAAACATCTCAATCTAAAATTAAACAAAATTGATTAAAGTACCAAAACATCATGCACCCACTTTGTGAGAGACAAAGAATATTTTTTTGCATACCTGTTTGATCTACATTTTCGATAAATCAGGCATTCATTACCAGAAAATGAAAGCACATATCTTCTAATTAGCAAAAAATAAAAAGCAACTTCAAGGTTCTTTATGAATTCTGTGCGTACAATATTTAAATGTGTTCCATAATGGCCTTTCTGCCCAATTCACTTCATATGAACTTGACAAAGAACTTTAAACAGATCATTTCACAAGAAAAAGAAAAACCTTATTAAATTCGTGGACTCTGTACAGTTTACTTTCGACAACGGTCGTCGCAATTTCTGGCCGAAAACACCTACTCAGAGCTGTCAACTTCATGGGTAGTTCATGATGAGCAAAAATCCGTCCTGCCATCAAACTGCCTAACCCCATTTCTTTAAATGGAAGACGTCACTTAGTGAAAAATTAAGATTCTTCAATTTGAGAACTAGCTGAAATGCACTTATCATTTTAAAAAAAATATATTCAATTCACAAATGAAGATGAAATTAGTCCTGAAAAATCAGTATTCAAAACATTGATGTTTTATTAAAACTCTCAACACTGCAATGTAAAGCAGTAAAATTTGTGATATGAACACCAGACTTCATCCAAACATTATTTGTAACTGCATTTAGTTTAAAATGAAATATTACTTACCAGATGTACCAGATAAGCAAAAATCGCTGTACTTATTTAAACGGTATAAGATGTCGTTATCTGATCGTTGCTGTAAACCACAGCATTCAGGAGTACTATGATGAAGGACATCTGGCACGATGATAGACTTGAAACCTTTCTGCTCCATCACCGATGAAACATAATCTATTAACGCAAGTTCCAAATCAGTCCCAGGACCTATAAAACTTAACAAAATTGCATGAATTATGGTCAAATTGTTACAGTGACTTTAAAAACCAAAAAAGGCAACAACCTATGAATGCATAACTTCGTTCACCACATGCATTCAGTGGACTGTATAGAGCTTTCCATGCTTTCATTATCGACTCTGCGGTTTTCAAATTCGTATCATTTCGTCTTTCACCAAAAAGTCGTACAATTTTAGCTTTCGACATATCACCTTTCACAACACTTGCATGACACATATTTGGTATCAGCGCAGCCTCTTCATAAAACTATAAAATTACTGTTCCTTTTACTTGCTACTGAAGACATCTTTAGATCATAGAAGTACTCATAATAGGGTATTTTGTAATGAAATAAAGTAATACCTTATCCCATAATGACTGATACTCTTGTCTGCATCGGTTGATTTTATTCTGATAATCCTGAATCTGTTTCCACAAGCTATGAACTGCATCAATATTACCAATTCCTTTCCTACATCGTATATTTTCCCTAATCAGATGTAGATTCTTGACATCTAACAAAAAATCGAAATTTAGTTCTGGTCGAGAGAGTGCTTTTGACAAAGAATCTATTCGTTGTCTAGCCATGTTGTTGCAAAAACTGTGTCTCAAACCTTAAACAAAATAAAATTGAACGTTGCAAAGCTATAAAACCGAACAAAACCAAAGTTTACAAAGTTGTAGTGACAATGACGAGATGCAATTAAAAAGTACGCAACAAGCAACTCTCATGACAATTAAGCAACAAAACACACGTAATCTTCACATTAATCTTATCTTGGCGTTTGCTGCAGTTGAAAGTAGTATTTATATTATTGGAGAAATAGCTCATACTTATAAGATTGATTTCTATCTTCATCATTCCGCAGACTTGTCACTCGTACGACCTATTTACGTGCAAATGAATTAAATCGTGCTGTAAACAGGTTGAAAGCTTAATAATGCGACATTTTTTCGGCATTGTATCGCCCTGCGATAATGGATACTATCTAACAGTAAGACTGCCAGTTACTGCATGGTATTTACCAAAGGTTAGACGAAACGAGATAGCTGGACATCATTTTACAGAATGATGTGTTAATTGTAAGTTTTTTCTGTTGATTGATTGAGGCGAAAAAATTGTAAAATAAATTGATTGCTAATATTTGTGTCAAATAATTAGCAAACAATGTCTTGCACCACTTCTGTATTAATTTGATCCAGTGCAAATTTTTTTCTCATAATATTGCTGTATGCAAATTCGTGCTGCAACAAATATTTTGGATTCTATCCAACTTTTCAAAATCTGCGGTAAATTTCAAAAAATTTGCATAATAGGATGAGGTATATAAGTCAGAAGCAGTATTTTTATTTCATTATTTTCGTAATGTTTGCTTATTTTGTGGTCTGGTCAGAGTAAGATTAAATTTACACTATTAGCTTAGTAAGATGTTTATTAGATTGACATAGCGTTCTTTCTATTAATCATATTTTGATGATAACATTATTTCTACTCGGCAACATTCTTGTCTGAGTATATCAAGAAGTAAATTTCACGATAATTTCTGACTTTGATTGATAGCTCTTTTCTTACTTTACATTTTTATATTTGATTTGTACAGCTAAAAATCGTCCTATTGAGAACAGTGTTTATTATTTATGATATTTTTAATCACATAGTTTTTTAATGTTATGGCTAGACAATTTTCATTTGTTACTAACTGGCAAGTTTTCCATACTTCATTTCAATTTGTACTCTTTGCTCATTTCATCCTCTCATACCTTCTCATATTTCTATTATCTACTTTTTTTTTTGGTATAAGTATTGCCTAGAATGCAAATAGTGTTGATTTGTTGCTTATAAAAGTTATTACAGATGACGGCACCCTCATATCACAAACCATATAGCAAAGAAGACAATCGGTTTTCGTCATCGTATGCAGCTCTGGATGGGTTGTATGCTGTGCATGATGAATTAGGCTGTGGGGGGTTTGGAAAAGTGCGCTTAGCAACACATTTACTCACTTCCCAGAAAGTTGCCATCAAAATCATCGACAAGCTCAAAATTAAAGTATCAGTATTTCAACTATTTAAGTGTTACTTGGTGCTTCGTTAAAAACATTGTTTTTCGGATTTATTATTTAAATGGAGTACATTCAGTGAAAGTTGATGCTGGATTCAGTGATAGTAATAGCTGTCACATGAACTGAATCAGATGGCCGGATGATAGAGACCATTTAATCAGGATATCATATAATTCACAGTAGTAGAGGCGTAATTTCACACTGTAAACTAAATCAGTTGCTTTCTTCAATATGAAGTTCCTTTCATTATGTTTATTGTTCATGTGCTTTGCTCTTTTTGAATTTGATGATTCAACTCTTTAGTTTTTATTTTAGTTATATTTGAACTTTTGAGGAATTTACGTATTGGATGATTATTTGTTATGTTGTAGAAGAAATCGTATTAAAAGCACTATAGCAGCGAAATGATGAAAAAAATGTGGACTAAAATTTGCATGTAAAAAATGTTTCAGCTATCTTTTTATTTTTGCACATTTTTTTTTCAAAAAAGAAGCTAATTGTAGAAGGATGATTTACCTCGAGTAAAAACGGAACTGGACGCACTTATGTCGCTGTCACATCAAAACATTTGCAGACTTTATCACTGTATCGATACACCTTCAAAATTTTTTATTGTGATGGAGGTTTGAGGTTTATTTAATTTTATTTACTGTGCAGTAATAGACGATTTTGTTCCAGCTGTTATTCTCAAGTAAGTATTTTCACCTGATATTCTCAATGATAGACCTTCTTTCAGTACTGTAGTGGTGGGGAAATGTTTGACTACATAGTAAAAAAGGAACGGTTGGAAGAATCTGAAGCACGTTACTTTTTTCGACAACTTGTTCAAGCCATTGCTTACGTTCATAGCCTAGGATTTGCTCATCGAGATTTAAAACCTGTTAGTTGAGTCATGAAGATAAATATTCGATAACTTTGTTGTAGAAAAAGACCTTCATTTGACAAATTCTTCGTTTTTAAGGAAAATCTGCTTCTGACCGAGGATTTGCAACTAAAATTAATTGATTTTGGTCTTTGCGCTCGGTCATCCTTTGGATTAGATGACTTTTTACATACCTGTTGTGGTTCACCTGCTTATGCAGCTCCCGAGCTTATACAAGTAGTATTTTTACACTTTTTAAGATTTAATATGTTCTGTTTTTTTTTGTTTTGGTGTTGCAAAATAAAACTTCTTATAGGGGTTACCATATAAGGGGAATCAAGTTGATGTCTGGTCAATGGGTGTTCTCCTCTACACTTTGTTGTGTGGGTGTTTACCATTTGAAGACGAAAATGTCCAGAAATTATACACCAAAATAGCGGCAAGTTAATACTGTACAGAATTTCTTTTTGCTTAAGAAAATTTGCTTTTAATTACATTGAATTTCAGTATTATGATTAAACGCTTAACTTCTGATTTTAGACTGGGCGATATCATGAACCGGATTACTTAAGTCCTTTGAGTAAGGATTTGTTGCGATTGTTGATGCAGGTGGATCCGGAAAAGCGCATTACCATTTCTGAGTTGATTGCTCATCCATGGATCAATAAAAAGTACACTCAAGCTCTAAAATGGTCATCTATATATAATGTGAGTGCATAAATTTCAAGGAAATTAAGGGTAGGATTAGCTAATTCATTCATTGTTTCAAGTATTATTTTTCCAGAAAAATATCGTTGATGAAGATATAATTCACGAGCTCGCGTGCCATTTTGGGCTGTCATTTGATGAAATGGAAGCCCTAGTAAAAGAAGCAAGTCTTTTCAACTGTTTCAAAACAATTTATCTTTTTCATTCATTATTTATTTCTATTATAAATGCTGGCATGTTTTGAACTTGTTTTATTTCATTCCGATTTCAGTGGAAATTTGACTATCTGACTGCTACATACTATCTGTTGTTGCAACAAAAAAGACGTGGAATGAATTATATTCTACCATTACTGAAACAAAAGAATAAGTTGGTACGAAAAAATCCAATTTTTCATTGTGCAGTGTCATCATAATATTTATCAAAAGTTTTTCGACATATTCACCGTTTCACTCTTACTTTGAAATTTTTAGACAGATTGGAAACAAGTACTTTTGACGTCTCAAACAATACATGCTTCGTTAGATAATGATTTAAATAATTCTGGTTTGAATGAAAGTGAAGTAAAGTCAGAATCAGATGAAATGGGAATGAAGTTGGATATCTATAATAAGTCTTTCAAAGAAAATGTAGCAGCTACTCCTCCAGCTGTATGTGAGCAAGATAAGGTGTTTTTTCTGTTATTTTATGTCACTTCGTGTGCTCTGAAAATAGTTTATCTAAGTCTAAAGTCATGGTAGTGCAACACATAAATATTATAACTTAAAATTTTTCGAAGCAAGGTGTAATTCATGCATTTAAGAACTTATCCTACGCGTATGCTATGCTCAGTATGCCTTCTACGCACTCAGGAATTTCTCCTAAACAACGGGTTGCATGTGGTATTCGTAGAGGAGTAGAACCTTTCGTTACTCCAACACGACTTAAAACCAAGCCTCAGCCCCAGGTAAGTTTTGTTAAGATACGGAAATTTGTGTCATATATAGGTATGCTAAAACGCACCACCAGTTATTTCAGTGTGGTACTGTTTTTGATACTTGTTCGTATCGGCGTCCGCGTAATAAGGAAAACTGGCCACCTACAGCGATGAGAGTTCGAGGTCAAATCAAGGTCAGGTTCTGGATTACGTTGTGAAGTATGATACAGAAATTACGCTATTTCACCTATGGAATATCTGGAATTATGTGTTATTCAGCATTAGCATATTTCAGGTTTAAAAGGCAAGATGTGTCGCAACTTAAAAATATCTGATATATTAGTTAACTGAATATACTATCGAATTTATGCGAACGTTTCGTTTAATTTACAAAAAATCATGAGAAACTAAATTTGCTAAAAAATATTATTAAAGACAAATTTGTCAAGTGGTTGAAGAATCAGGTTATTGTGTAACAGTTGATGGTTCTACATCAGCATGTGTCATTGAAAAGAGCGTTGAGTGTTGGTGATTGAGATTTAGTTAATAGTCACTGTGTTGTATTAAAATGTGATGATGTATCAATTCCAAATTTAAAACGTGGAGAAGTTCATAATTAAGCTGGCAGTGAGGACAATTTTGTCTATAACAGACAAGAGTATTATGTTGACCTCTAGAACGGATATCTGAGCCAGCAAGTTCACGGTTTTGTACTATAATTAAAATTTGGTTTTATATTCTGTTATTGACGATTCTCCTTACAGATTATTAATGACACACGTCCTAAAAGTAATGTTTACGGATCACCGTCACAAGTTATTTCTTCACCTTCGTCTGCAAATACAAGGTTTATTATTTCTCAAAAGCTGAATATCAAGAAGCCTTGTTTTTTAAACGCTATTTCTAATAATATTATTTCTAGGTCTCAATCCGTTGAGCGCCCAAATGCTTTCCCCCTCACTCCAGTCCAAGTTCCGCGCCATGATCGTACTCCACGATCTTCATCCAAAACACCACGTTTTCGTCAGCGAGTTTTTGCTTCCCTGGAACGACAAGCAGATAAAATGATCAATTTATTGACACCACGAAAAGTTAAAAGTTGCGGTCCGGAAATATTGAAGCAAGCCAAAGTGAGTTTTTGTTGCTGTTGGCTTATACTCACAAGGTTATATTATTCAGAAGGATTACCGAAGCTTCAGGTTTTTAGTTAAGACTTTGTTTTTTGCGTACTTACTTTCACAATTATATCTACTATATGGATTGATTTTAGACAATGGTAAATATATCTATCACATCATCTAAGGATCCCAAGCTCGTACGTGACGAACTTTTGCGTGTTTTCGCTGAGCAAGACATTTGCACTGAGCATCATGGGTATGTATCTGGAAAACATTTATGAGTAACATTTAACTGTAGTTTAGATTTGGCATTCTGAATTATTTTTCTGATTGGACTACTAGCCACTTTATTATTATCTTTTCTGGATGTGGTGAATTATTTAAGATGGAAAATATCGGGATGGAAAAAAGATGAATTCAATCGAGTGATGACTGTTGAACTTGAGGTAGTTTTGATTGAAATGGGTAATAAGGAAGAATTGGTGGGTGTAAAACGAAAACGGCTTAATGGTGATGCTTTCCTGTATAAAAAAGTTTGTGAACAAGTTCTGCGGCTTGCCGGTTTATAATGTGATTGTCATTATATAATAATGAAAAAATTCAAAATTTTCTACATGTCATTATATATTTTTTTAATGTTAACGTCAGTTTCTTCATAGTCTTGTTTTCATACATCACTAACGGTTTACAATGCGTTTTTCAAACTGGATTGGAACATTATAATTATCATAATGAATCTTGTATGCTTGTTTTGGTTCCGAAAGCTGTATTACAGACAGGATTATCATTTTGGGATATTTTTATCAGACATACATTTCACTGCGTGATTACCTATGTAGTCAAACTTTTCTGCTACTTTAAAGTGCAGCATTTATTCTTCTCTCATTGTATTTGAACAGTTTCGAGTTATAACCTTTTATCTTTAATCATATCATTAGATAACAAGAAGTAGCTCTTAAATCCTAAGAAAGATTTCTTGTTTAATGTGGACTTCTTTATTCTGATAATACAAATTTCGTAATTTTAATATTATAAGCACTTCTGAAAGTGATCTTTGTGTAGGAGTTATCATAATTCCATTTAAAGGGCTTATTTTTGCCTATTGTTTATACTGGATTCTGTTACATATTACCATTACTAGTTCTCCACTGTTTTTATTCTAAAAGGACTAGTGCTAGCTGTTGTGAAAACACTGGTTAAGGATAGTTTTATTTTATATGGCTCACTGACCTCGTTGTGTTTAGCTCTAAATTAAGTATAGTTCTATTTTTATTTTACATATAATTTCAGCAAAGAGTTGTTTATTCTTATTTACGATATAAAGATTTAAAGTCTATGGGTGTTTCTCTGGAATGTGGTTTTTTGATTCATTACGTTTACTTATAACGCTACTTTTGATTATCTACTTTCCTTTTTTTTTTGATTATTTCAAGACGCAGTGGCTTAAGATCACCGCATACAGCATTTTATATGTAATCCAAATTATGCTTTAAAACAAGTAGTAGATGCATTTTCATTCATGCTGTTCGTTGGAAGAGATGTGTTTAGAAGTTATGTGTTTTACAGAATTGAATTTGACCTTGGTTGTAGAAAGAAAGCGAGAGATGGATGGAAGCTCTATATTATCATTCCATGATTTGCAAATGAGTGCAGAAAAAGGGGACTGTTTTGTCAGTAATGAAACAAAACTCTTGAATGTAAAGTCTGCCAACAATTTTATTGTTAAGAAGGTAAGAAAATAATATAAATTTCTTGAAATGGCTCTAGCCATATTTTAGTAGAAAGCTGTTTAGGCACCACCGACTATTCGTTATATCCCGGATTTCATTAGTCCGGAAGAAGAACAGTTCCTTCTACACAATATATACAAGGTTCCAAAACCGAAGTGGCATAATCTTTTAAACAGAAGATTACAGGACTGGGGTGGTGCTCTATGCAAAGATTATCTAATTCAGGATAGCGATATTCCACCGGTAGGTGTTGTTTCTTGGAACTGTTGGTTTTGTAAGCTATTTCCTGAAACCGTGTTAAGTAGCTATACTTAACAAACATCACGCTGAATGAGCTGAAGTAAAAATATGAAATTTCAAAGTTTTATTTTAATTGTTAAATATTATGATTGATATTGTTTGAGTGGTTGAATGCTGTTATTGAGCAGTTGGTGGCAATTGATGACACCTTTCCTCCTGCTCATCGTCCAAACCATGTTTTAATCAATGAATATCTTCCTGGACAAGGCATTATGGTTTGTTTTAAATGAGTGTAGTTTTCAGTTTTATAAAGTTGTATCTATTAAAAATCAAGAACTGCGGCATTTAAAGGTAATTCATTCAGAATCATCCTTTCAAAGTTATATTTTTCTTATTTAGGCGCATACAGATGGTCCTGCTTTTTATCCATTGGTTGCTACGATTTCGTTGAACAGTGATGTCCTTATCGATTATTACAAGCCTTTTGATCCGGAGGTTCAGTAAAATGATTTTATTGTATTTCTACATAATTCTTTGTCTGTCCGGTCCATCACTTCGAGTTAGTAAATTTTTGAATGCCTTTCCTGGAAATTTCACGTCGCATTTATATTTAAATTAATTTTGAATTCTGTAATTGAATAAAAAATTTTCTAGAAATCCGAAGCAAGAGAAAGACGATATTTGGGCTCCATGCTCTTGAAACGTCGTAGCTTGGTTCTGATGAGTGATGATATATATACATATTGGCACGAAATTGCAGATCGATTAGTTGATGTCATCACTGATAGTGTCTTTAATCTGGAACATGTAGATGAAACTGTTGGTGAAGTCATATCTCGTACTTGCAGGTCAGTAAAATGCAAACAATCATCATAAGAAGTACTGGTGTTGTGATGTAAAGAGTGAAGTATTGTCAAAGTGAAGTAAAATAGTATTTTATCGGGAGAAGTGTGATTCCGACTAATCTAGTTATTAAGTAGTCCCTTTTTCAGAATCTCGCTAACGATTCGTAATGTTCCAAAAGTAATGAAGTTGAATTCGCGTAAATTGGTTTTGAAACGCTAATATGCCAAACTTTTGAAAGGCGACATCCATTCTTTTTCTTTACTTCATATTCCCGCTATTTAACTTATTTTCCTAGTCATATTTTTTAGATTTCGGTGTAAAAAGCATTAGTTGCTCCTATTTTAATGACTGAAAGTTTTTTTAATTGTTAGTAGATACTACTAACTGCAAATCTAATTCTATTTATGATTGAAGTTTAGATTTATCATTGTATTTATATGTTATGCCAGTCTAATTTCCATCGTATCATTGCATTCGTTGTATTATGTATGTCAACTAAGACTGGTATAGTTGAAGAATCGGGTACAGATTTTAGTTCTTGTCAGTCAAAAAAAGATATGATCCATGAGTGGGTTTAAGGCATTCACATCCAAAGTAATAAATTAAAGCCAAATTTCCAGGTCTATAGTTCTTAAAGTTTCTAAATTTAGATGCTCTTTTTTCTAACAAAATGGAGTTTTCATTGGACAAAAAGTGATTGATAAGAATTATAAGGCGGTCATTTTGAAAATCCTAGTAAGAGCAATAAGATTGATGTCTTTCTTTAATGTGTATTAACGGTTCAGTGCTTCCAATAATGTGAATGCGGTAAAGTTGCGTTGCTTTGATTGCGCAAGGCCATTAGAAAAGCATTTGGTAGGCAAAGTGTCATTGCTGTATCTTCCTTGTTAAGAAAAGCTAAATACCGCAGCCATATGTCATGCTCAAGCTGGCTACTGTTAGCATTTTAGATTGTCCATCTCGTATTTTCGTGATTGCCACTGACAATCATTGCAAGCTCCTGTTATTGAATTCTCACAAAGATGTTTGTATTAATTGACTGCGTAACATCACATCTTGGGAATCATTATAATCAACTCGTGTGTCGGTATTATTTTCGATATTTGTTACCAGTGTTTAATCGTACTTTAGAAATGTGGCTGTAATTGTGTTTATAAATGAGAAAAAAAATAAATTGCTATTATTTTTATTCCCAACAGATAATTGCCTACGAACATGATATTACTTCTTGAAAATGACCAGAAACTTGATCTAATTTAAGTCATCTGTTTAAATAAACTCATCGAACTTTCATCGAGTTTCCTTGAAGAGCACCTACAAGAGTATTGAATGAAGCAACAGTGTTTATAATTTTCAGTTGCCTGGCCAACAGATAATGCATTTTGTTTATTCTTGAAATTAATTAGGCTATTCATACGGTAATTAGATCTCATTGAAAGTTAAACAATTTGTGAATCTACTGATTTTTACCATGTTTAGTAGCAGTTTCCTTAAATTATGATAAATACAAATTCACTTTTCATACTATCACAGTACAATGCGTTAAGAGTGTTACAATATATATTGTTGTTAGCCTTTAGAATATATATTACAATCTTGAACTTGATATTTGCTAAATTTCTCAAAGAAGTGTTCATTCATGGAGTACTTGACAACAGTTTAAATCTCCCTTAGAAATTGTGATATCTCATTATTTCTTTTCTAATGAAAATTGAAATTGCAAAGCGTACGTTATGATGCAATATAAAAGTAACTCATTAATATGCTCTACCTATTCTCTAAATTGTTTAATTTGGATAATAGGATTGGAAATATGGAGATTATTTCCGGAGATGAGATGATTAAGACTTGTTCAAGACATGAAATCAGCAATTTTTACTGTGAACAGAATATTGGTTATTCACAGTTATTGAGTTTTAAAACTACTTAAGAGCATATAAGGCAAAAATAAGATTCGAAAATGTCACATGTCGAAGAAAGCGTTAATGGTGTAATAGAAAAGAATGAAGAGAAGGTGGAGTCAACAATACCGTATCCCAGTAAAAAAAGCTAGAGAAGATATCACATTGGTTGTTCAATTAAACAAGATGATCCATCCAACCTCCTGTTCATTTTGTTTGTATATGTATATGAAAGAAGTAGTAAAGCCATTTTGGATTGGTAGGATCATGCTGTGGCTAAGTGTACTCTTGCGACTAATCCACTAGGATTCAAAGGAAGTTCGTTGTGAATTTTCTTGTTGTTATTCAGAAATAGATTTGCTGGCAAATATTAATGCTTCAGGAGAATTAAAGTTGCAGAATTGGTTGCTTGTGCTAAGTCGTATGTATTTTAAAAGTAATCCGTGAAAGACTTTAAATTCATCTCTACTGATCATGGATTTAGCAGCAAATCCTTTACAACAACAACAGCAACAGCCTCGTACTATTGCAAGCTTTCCCGGACATTTCATTAGGTCTGAAACGGTTCCCTCAATATTTGATGCATCAACTGTTGCAGCAGCTGCTGTTGTCAATGCTACTTCAAGTAATACTTCAACCAGTACAACTACTACAGCTTTATTATTTGATTATACTTCATTAAGTATTGCCGCTAGTAATGGTACACTTACAGTAAGCAGTACTATTTGTCCTCCACCATCCAGTTCTTCATCAAATAGCGTATTTTCTTCTGCTCAACATGACATTTATCGGTTACCAAATGTCACTACTTCTACTGATCAAAATAGTTCATCATCACTGCAGAATATTGCAGGAAAATTACCAAAAAGTTTGTTTTTGCCATTTTACTTCTAAATTTGATTTCAATCGTTGTTACTTCATGTCCTTCAATGTTATAATTTTAAAAGATTTTAAACTTACAAAACAATACGAAATTTATAACTATTTTGTGACATGATAAGCTTTTATATAATTTTTGATAAATTGATTAGATATTATGTTAGTTTTTGCTATAATTCACTTGAATGATAAAAATTAAAAATCAAATACGGGCTTTGAAACTGATAGCTCCAATTTTTCGTTTAACTATGAAATAATATTTTATTTGATGAAAACAGTACATTCAAATCATAATCTATCAAAAAAATAAAACACTTTTTAGACTAAACATGAACAGCTCTTGTTATTCTCAATATCGAATCACTGTAATAATTTTGTGATTCTAAAGCAAAATTTTAAAAAATTTGTGTTCCATTTCTTTCTTTTATCTCTCTATTCGCTCCTGAAGATTGATACTTTTCACATATTATTTCACTTTTGTCTAAAAAAGAACATCTAGAATATCGTTCACTTTTTATAATCATTGCAATACTAAAATTTTAAAAATTTAGAACTCATGAATACGAAAAATCATTTCTGTTAGTGAGTATTTTTTGTTCCTTCAAATTTTCAGCTCATTTGTAAGTTAGAAAGAGCATGTTTAATTGGTATTGGATACCTTAACATTTTTTATTTTTAACTTCAACTCTTCATATTACTATAAATAAAATTTTGTGCCTACTGTCGTCAAAACAACTTTTTATTGGTAAAACGCAACCTACAGTAATTTCTTTGTATATTCAAAAGCATTTCCTGCAGAGTTTTGTGCTAAATTTCTAGTCTTAGTAAATGATTTCAATCAATTATAATATTTTTGCATTTTTGTAAAAAAAAGTCCTCAGTATTTTAGCAAATCAAAATTTAAAACTAGCTTGTTCAAGATGCAAATGACATTTTCAGTTGACAAAAATAAAAAGGAGTATGATGCATCATCAAGAAATATTGAATGCGACGGTAATTCCGATGCATCTCCCGATACTTGTTTGATTAGCAGTCAAAAACCACGTAGACAACGTACTCATTTCACGAGTCATCAGGTTTTTCTTCTTACCAAACTCGTATTCTGTTCACGCATTATTCAACTGCTAAAAAAACACTGATGTCTTAATATACTTAAAGACAAAGATTGTTTGGAACTAAATTTTTTAAATATTGTTTTGCTTTTAATTTAACACAGAATTCTTACATTAAATGTTGTAAAATTACGTTTGCAGCTAACTGAGTTAGAAAATTGGTTTTCAAGGAATCGTTACCCAGATATGGCAACAAGAGAGGAAATTGCTTTATGGATTAGTCTTACAGAGCCAAGAGTTCGAGTAATTTTTGTAAATTTTTTAAAAAACTCGAAAGTGAATGAATATTTATTCATTACATTGAGTGGCTGTACAAATTTTTAGTTTTTTTAGAATTAATATTTTCTATTTTAGATAAACAACCTCATATCAAAATAATGCTTCCATTATTTCTGAATCATGACATATCTTATTTT